CGGCCTTCGCCAAGGCAGGGGCGGCACCTGGAACCACAACAGGTAAGGAACCTCTTTTTAATAGCTTCAAAGGCCTCAATGCTTCGAAATAATTTCGATTATATAAATATTTTGGTCACAGATATTTCGAAATATTTTAATCTCAAATATTTATAATGCTCAAATACTTAAAATTCCTCGCGGCAATTTCCACCAAGCACTCTGGCCACAAGCATTTCTTATTAGAGGGTTACAATTTGTCATTTACTTTTATTCTAGAATTTTTTATTGTTAAAGGTATCAAGCCTTAAAACCCCTAAAATCCTTAAAGTCCCTCGTAACAACTTCCACCAAGTATTCCGGCCACAAGCATTGCCATTTGCCTCCATAAGCCTTTGTTATTAGGACGTTCAAGCCTGCCGTTTGCCAACCTTAGAACCCTTAAAATCCCTCGCGGCAGCTTCCATCAAGCACTCTGCAGCCTGCCGTTTGCGAGCCTTTAAATCCGTAAAATTCTTAAATTTCTAAAAATCCCTCGCCACAGCTTCCACCAAGCACTCCAAACACAAACATTTGTTGTTAGAGCGTTGCAGCCTGCCGTTTGCCTCCATAGCTCTCTGTTATTAGGGTATTCAAATCTCCCATTTACCAGTCTTAGAATCCCTAAAACCGTTAAAATCTTTAAAATCCCTTGCGGCAGCTTCCGCCACAAGCATTTGTTTCTTTTTAGAGTATTGCAGCCTGCCGTTTTCCTCCATAGTTTTCTGTTGTTAATGCGTTCAACCCTACCGTTTGCCAGCCTTAGAACCCCTGAAGCCGTTAAAATCCCTCGCGGCAGCTTCCACCAAGCACTCTGGCCACAAGCATTTGTTGTTGCAGCATTGCAGCCTGCCGTTTACTTCCATATCTGTTGTTACGGTAGTCAAACCTGTCGTTTGCTAGCCTTAAAACTTCTAAAACCTTTACAATCCCTCGCGGCTACTTCCACCAAGCACTCCGGCCACAAGCATTTGTTCTTAGAGCGTTGCAGCCTGCCATTTGCCTCCATAGCCCTCTATTGTTAAGGCATTCAAGATTACCAAGCTTAGAATCCCTGAAACCGTTAAAATCCCTTGCGGCTGCTTCCACCAAGCACTCCGGCCACAAGCATTTCTTGGTAGAGCGTTGCAGCCTGCCGTTTGCCTCCATAGCTCTCTATTATTAGGGCGTTCAAGCCTGCCGTTTGCCAGCCTTAGAACCCCTAAGACCCTTAAAATCTCTCGCGGCAGCTTCCACCAAGCACTCTGGCCACACGCATTTGATGTTAGAGCATTGCAATCTGCTGTTTGCCCCTATTCCAGAGCCCCCCGCTGCTAAGGGTGTCAAGTCTGCCGTTTGCGAGCCTTAAAGCCCCTAAGACCTTTAAAACCCTTAAAACCCCTCGTCATTACTTCCACCAAGCACTCCGGCCACAAGCATTTGTTGTTAAAGCGTTGCAACCTGCCGTTTGTATCCATAGGCCTCTATTGATAAGGTATTCAAGCCTGTCATTTGCCAACCTTAGATCCTATAAAATCTTTAAAATCCTTCGCAGCAACTTCCACCCAGCACTCTCGCCACAAGCATTTTGTTATTAGAGCGTTGCAGCCTGCCGTTTGCCTCCATAGCCCTCTGTTGTTCAGGGTGTCAAGCCTGCCATTTGTCACCCTTGAAACCCCTTACTCTCGCCACAAGCATTTGTTGTTAGAGTCTTGCAACCTGCCGTTTGCCTCCATAGCCCTCTGTTATTAGGGCACCCAAGCCTGCAATTTACCAGCCTTAGATTTTTAAAGACCTTTAATACCCTTAAAATTCCTCTCCGCTCTTAGTCCAAGATTGCTACCAACACGCGAAGATAGAGGTATATTATAAATATGCAAATAATAAAACAATAAATAATTAGCATATAAAATAAAATCACAGAAAAAAAAATAAAAAAATTAACGGGAAAACTCGCAGATAGAATTGTTTTTGCGGTTTCGTTACAATATTAAATATTCTATCTAATAATCCGTAGATATATATACATATATATGGTTTTCAAAAACATCAATCATTTTCCGGAAATTTTAACCAAATTCGCCTTTATCATTATTTTTGTATGATTTATTTGCTGAACTATTCTATCTGTTGGTTTCCCCAAGGATATAATTATTTGTCGTTGTGGAATTGTTAATTTAATCGAAGCGGCTGCATGTCCAAACCAGCAAGACAACAACGGATGTATAGAACAGAGGAAATTAATGGAAATTATGTAAATAATCTCAAATCAATTCACAAATCGTATCCGGGGTATGGATCGAGACCTTGAATCTTAATTTCATTTAAAATTGCAATTAAGCATAGTCCATCAACATATTTAATATGGCCACATATCCAAACCAAAATTTTCTATCGTTTTCATATCAATTCTTTAACTTTAAATACATTATGTTTGTTCATAATTATTAATTATAATAAGATAATAAGATCATAGTCATTTTTGATGCTTTTTTGCAGTTGTCGAGAAGAGATTGTGTAGCTATCGATCATGTTATTCTAGCGCATTATCATCATTAGTGTCCATTATCCATTTCACCTCTCATTTGAGGGGCGTCCTGAATTGTTGCCCTGTCGCAAGGGATGAACACCACATGTCACACATTGATATGCCTTCGATAGGGCAACAGGCCTAGATGATCCAAGGACATCGCTGGTCGTGTCTCGGGCAAATTCGAATGCACAAAGGAATTCATTGTCCATTGGTTGTTCCGGTTGTTCCTGCAGTCTTGGAGCAATTCTGGTCTCTGACATTAGTCTGACTGCTTCTCTCTCAGAAAGATTGTCTCTGCAAGAAAAACCTTCCCTGCAAGCCACACGTTTGAGGACCTTCAAGGCCCCTTCATCCAGATTTGTGTGGCAAAAATATCTGGCAAAGGGTCAGCCAATGAGACTTAACAATCTTAACAGCGTTAACCTGAAGAAGCTCGCTGCCATTGTTGGATTGCAGCTAGAGCATGGTGGAAGAGAATTGCAGCTAAATCTCGTAAAATCTCTGATCTCATCAACCTCCATGGACGTGTCTCGTGATGTTTTTGGATACAGCAACTTCCAAAAAAGAAGCTGTATACAATGGTTCATCATAGCTATTCATAGTTCATCACCAATGACAGGTGTTGCGAACCAGCCCTACTTAGGCTGACCCTTTCGAGGACTCAGTACTCAGGTCCTTCCCAGCAGGACCTCCCTAAAGCGTTGTGCTGCCTGGGCTGAGCGCACTGGGCTGGGATGGAAAATGGGCTACCAAGGGACCCACAAAATTCGTCATGTGTAGCACTTACCTTTATCATCCTTTATCTTATCTTACCATCCTAAAAAAAACTCAAAGCATTTTAAACCTACTTACTTGATTAAGCATTTAATTACTACTCTTGGATGGTTAGTAACTATTCCTTAAGTCTATTCAAACATTTGACGTTGGAGTCAATAGTTTTGAGAAGTGCCCATGTGCCGCCATCCATCCCAGACGCTCCAGAAGAAGTCGCACGCAGTGGTCGACCTGGGAGAAGACCCAGTGGATCCGGGTGGACCAGATGGATTTAGGATTTAGACCCAGATACATATGATACTGGTTGGTGGTGCAATAACCATCTTGAAAAATCTTGAAAAATATGAAAGTCAATGGGAAGGATGACATCCCATATTATGGAAAACAAACAATGTTTTTAGCCACATACATATGATATCAATTTGATGCTGAATTACATGCAGGATCAGATCAGGATCTCCTCAACTACCTCGCTTTCAGCGATGAAAATGGCGCGCCCACTTTTGGTAATCGCTGTCTCGCCTCTTCTGTTGCGACGCCAAGAAACCATAAGAAACCTATGTGAGAGCTCTTGCCCCACGCTTTCCGATTTTTCGGATCCTAATCCTTGAAACTTCAGCACCTGTGGTTGTGCCAGTGCGTGCTGTGCTCAGGGTTGCTTTTTGATCAAGTTGTACGCTGTCCTCGGAGCAACCAAAGTATGGTGAGCCGCAAGGTCCCTCATGCGCTGACAGGAACGCCAGTGGCAATCAATGAATTAACACAGCATTGGCAACATGGAATGAACATGAATCAACATACAATGACAAACATTTGTCACACAAAGCAGAATGGCCATCGATCTCTTTCCAAGCTTCACAAAGCCGCCAATAAGCAAAGGGAAGTCTCCGACGTGCGACAACCTGGGCATTTCTGCTGACACCTCTAGGGTCCAGTCGTCTTGCCCTGCAATATAGGGGCTGAGCACAAGACAGCGCACCCACCATGCGGCCAGTTGGTCCGTTCTTGGCGTAACCATATCCTCAGTCACAATCCAAAGCACTTACAATGGAACTTTCAGTACCATGATGTACCATGGTTGTGTTCAAGCTGTCAAAGGCTCTTTCCCAAACGGAAACAACATGCAGCAATCTTGGGCCTGTCAACAGGACCTTGATGCTAAACGGCCATGTGACCACATTGACTGACTGGCGCAGTTCGAAAGCGATTTCCACTGCAATTGCATACTGCATACATGATCATACATGGAGATTGCATACATGGAGATGATTCCTTTATTGAGTGGAGGGCAATGTGGTATTATGTGGTATTCTTCAACATGGTGACATATTCTCCGCGGGCAAATACTTCAAGCTGCTGTTTTCTCGAAGTGAGTATGAAACAATCCGAGTCATTCTAAAGTTACTTTAAACCCTGGTGACTGGTGTATCCCTGTACTTCCGTGCATAGACTTGATATCTTCTTGCTTGTAGTGGCTTGTAAGCTCATGAAACTGTGTCGCTGTCCGGTGCCAATCCCCATCAATCGAATAAACTGAATGAACAAGTGATTCGTCCTTTTTCAGGGACAGAAATAAATTCACCACACAAACGACACAGCGGTTTTGAACTGTGGTGAAGGCCCGGTGAAGCCAAAACAACTCCACACATGCAGGGCTTGCTGTCAAGGCTCCATAGATGATTCGAGCAGTTGCCCAAATCATTCCACAACCAGCGGCAAAGCGAGGATACAGGATGCCGTTGAAAGCCTCGATTGTAAGGTCTTTGCGCTGCATTGTGAAAGCAGTGCCAACTTCATATGAAAGAATCGAATAGAATCGATACATCAAAATTGGGAACCCTTGCTGCAAGGCACAACTCAAAATACAGTGTCCCCTTCGTGTCCCCTTCATGTCCCCGACTCTTAAACATCCTTAGTATGTTTAGCGTTTTGCACATGGCACGTCAGTCGTGGTGATTCTGCAACCAAAAAACCATCAGGACTTGCACAGGAGCCCAGCTTTCTAAGGTGTTCTGATGCGCTCGCCTGAGGCCCATGAGGCTGAGGGGTAGACTACGACTTCCCTATCACGATTTGTTCTCAACTTCTAAAAAATCCTGCCCAGAAAAGACCTCATCGTCAAATCTTTATCATTTTTTATCATGGAATATCATAGAATGATAGATCAAATATGAGATCCCTATAGGCTTCCTAAAATGGGTGATCCCACATGGGTTCTAAAAACACTCAAATGGTCATCCATGACTTGGATGCGTGCTGGGGTACCACTATTTTAGGAGACCCCGTGACAACCATAGCCAAGACAGCCTGGATGAACATGCCTAATCATGCCTACACGCTGATTCGCTGATACCATCATCCACCATCACAGCTACGAGTACCATACAAATAAACCTGGCTGAGTGAAGCAAAGCACTTGAACTTGGGGGTTTTGCCGATCCACATTCGAAGAAAACATGAAAGTACATCAAATTTGACTCACTGGTTCCATCCCAAGTTGCTGAACACTGTTGAACTTCTCGGCATTTGAGTGATTGTCTGGTGCGTACAAAGCAGGGTACTGGACGTTGTACTGCTTTCGCGCCCTCACCTCGAAGATTCAGCTGGGCTCGGTATACATGTATCATTTATGCGTTTGCAGAATCCGATTTTCCATCCTTGCCCCATTGATACGATGATGCTCACTGAGACTGAGGCTACATTGAAAGTGAGGTAGAAATTGGAAATCCAAGACAAACAATGTGCAAGCACAACGTAGCCATATTCATCCGGCAGCTGCAAACCCATGGCGACCGGAGCTCACGCAGTGTCACGGAGTGTCACGGAGCAAAGATCCAAAGCCAACAGCTTTTTGAGGACAGTGCAAGAACAAGCCATCCCCAATTTACCAGAAATGATTGGTTTGAACCGTCCCAAATGGGAGGCTAACTATTGTGAACTAGTGTTTTTTACACATTCACGAAGTCGCTTCGAGTTATCATCATCTGCTTGACAGAGTTCATCAGTTTCTTTCCTGCTCATGAGGTTTTGGGGCTCACCAGTGAATCACTCAGTGCAAATTTGTAGGCACATTGACAATGCCACTACCATGTTTTGAGGTGTGTTCACATAAGAATGGTAAGGTTTGGCTCATACTCATTTTCTTGAAAGATTCACGCATCTCCACATGCTTCCTCAAAAGCTATAGGAGGAAGCCTCAGCGGTGTGAGGCTGAATTCGCCATTGGCAGCTGGTCCTCTTTAAATATATGCCACCTGGTGAGCCTGGTGAGACTTGGTGAGGTTTTGGACAAGGTCCAAAGCTTCTGGAAGATTCAAATTCGTCCCTCCATTACAAGACTCTTCTGTGCAGCACTTGTCACAAGACTTCTCCAACAATTTCAGAACCAGTGTTGGAGCATATTTTTGGATCGTCTTCTTCACAGAGTCAAAGGTGAGAGCTCCCATCAATGCCATCTGAGCCTTTTCATGAGCACTCAAATCCTCAATGACCCTGGGCTTATCCGTGTAGTAGCCCTGAATGTCTACAAAGGGGCCAAAGTGACCACCACCATTCAGCATGGCGTTGTAGCACGCTTGGACGTGGGTCTCACCCCTCTCTGGCACAAACAAGGTCTTGTTGAACGTTGACAGGCTGCTGATCATGCGACTCAACCGTTCCTGGTGATTCGGTCGCTTGATGTTGCCTCGAAGGATCTGGAACCTTTCCCAAATAATGACAGGTCAATACAGGTTACCTCAATGTTGAAGAGCCTAAGAATTGAAAAGTGATAGAAACTGGGACAACACCTCTGTGCATGCAAATTTGAACCCAATCGTCTGCATCATGATACCTGTTCACAGCCAAATCTTGATATAGTTGATGAGCAATTGCTGGGACCAATGATTGTAGTGCACTGCCTTGTTGTGGCATTCAACTCTCCATGCCTCTCAAACACACAATCACAATATGCAAATATATGCAACCACTAGATCATTTCATCCTCTCCAAACTGTGGTTTGAAGTTGCCGTATGGAGGTTTCCTAAAACGGGGTACCCCGAAATCATCCATTTTGATTATGAGTTTCCATTCTAAACCATCCAGCTATTCGGGTTGCCCATGACTTTGGAAGGTTGCTATACAGCTTGCCCCACTAACAACAACAGCACAGGACGTCGGCTCCTTTTGTGCTGGGTCATGAGAAAGATCCACGGATTCTGCAGGATCGTCCTCAACATTGAACAAGCAGCCTGCAGCACAATCTCCTGGTCGGAGTCGGAGCCTTGGGTTTGAATTAAACAAAATCCACTGCATATCATCATTTTCTCATTATATTAATAGCCCTTTTATGGGTATACGGTATACGATGGTATACGGTATACCATGGTCTACCGCGGTCTACCATATTTTTGGACAAATTCAAATTCATCAATGGTCATGAGAGGCATGCCAATGTGTTTGCGAGGCTTAGCGACTGCGTTGGTGAGGCCAAATTCGAGCTTGTTAGTGAGATTTCAAGATGAAGCTGGAAGCACACGTCTATATAATCTATATATGTTTTAATTTGTTTTCACGATTTGCGTCTGTGCTTCGGGTGCTTTGCAGCCTCGCATATCAAGGTGCAGTCTTTTGACTTGAGGCAAGCTGTTAGTAGAAAGCACAAAGCAGTTTGACCTCTGAATATTTAGAGGGAAGAGAGAGTTTCCAATCAAGCAATGTTGGCAACATGTAAGATGTGTAAATTGCTTTCTATATGCATAAGTTGCATTTGCCATGCCGTCCTCTCCAGTAGAAGCTGTCTCCCAAGTCAACCTTCTCTTCCAACACAGAAAAATCAATGAAATCAGGTCCATGGCCACCTTTCATGGACGCAACCGTGCTGCAGTTGGGGTACAAGGGCCCCGTGTGAGCCATGTAAGGTTGCTTCCCAGTCACCAACTTGTATGGATATTCCAACAGAGCACTTCCAGACAGGAACAATGGCTCACTGTCCCGCGGCCCGGCTTTGGCGCCAAAGATGGCCTCCAATTGACCTTTCTTTCCATCCACTGGGGATAGCAAGGACAGACCCTGCTTGGCCAACCACTTGTTGGCCTCCTCTGATTTGTCGTCATGTTCATCCACCCCTGCCAGCTCAGAGAAAATGGTGTACCAATCCGCCACCGAAACAACGCCCTTGTGGACATAGCCTTGCCTCTCCTTGGGGATGTATCCACCGGACATGAAAGTGCTAGTTCGCACACCACCCTCAAAATCTGAGTATTTGCCACCCCTCAATGGATAGTTGTTGGCAGATCCGGGCTCATAGATAGGACCTCCATTGTCTGTGGTGAACACCACCAGGGTGTTGTTCCACATGCCCTTGGCCTTGAAAGCTTCTGTCAGGTTCTTAATGGTGTCATCCATATATTTGGTCATGGCCATCAGCAATCGACGATTCTCGGAGTCAAAGGCCTTGCCACCCTGTTGAATCACATCCTTCTCGATCTGCTCATAGTAGTACTTTGGCACCTGCAATGGGGTGTGCAACAGGTGGAACGCATGGAACAAGAAGAGAGGATGCTCCACATCCGATGTGTCGTGGTTGCGGATGATCTCCAACGAATGGTCCTCAAACATCTTCTCCTCATAGCAGTAGGGCGTTGGCTCATTGCTGCTTTTGCAGGCATCTGTCAGTGCTGGTCCCTTGTAAGGTCCTCGATAGCTGTGATTCTCAACCATCAGGTCATAGAAGGCATTGAGGCAAGTGGTGATTTCACCTGTGGCTTGGATTCCAGTCTTTTTGTTCCAATAGTCATTGGCATGTTGGTAGTACATGAAGCTGGTCTCAAAGCCTCTTCCATACGGTGTATGCTGAGGAGTGGCCATCCCAGCATCCCATTTCCTCACCAGATAGGCCAATGGGAAAATCATCATAGATTCAGCAAACAAAAACTATATATATATATATTAATATAATATTATATAATACAGTGATAATTCCCAGAAGATTTTCCTAAACTTTGATGAACAAACAGGAACACCATGAAAAATCATGAAAATATCATGAAAATCATCAGAACAACTGTGAACAACTCCAAGTTTCCCGGTGTAGTGCGTCCTGTAGCCCCCTCTGCGCACCTTTTCGCCCATGCCCGTCATGTTGCGCGGGATGCCGGCGTAGCCGCTGATGGGATCATCGGGGTTCGAGGCCGTGACCGCCACGTTCTTCACCAAGACGTGGGGAGCCAAGCGGCCACTGAGCAGGGCAGAACGGGCCGGGCCACAAATGCGGTAGGAATAGTGGCGATCCAACTGGATACCTGGGATGGAGCCATGATGAGCCATGGGGGGGATGCTGTACAGCAAGCTGTACAGCAATGGTTAAGTCGGTTAAGTCTCATGTCTTACATGTATTTAAGTGATTTTAAATGTAGTATCCAATTATGTACACTACTCAAACACCAATGCTGAAAATAAAACAATACAAAACTGCAACTCTTAAGAGGGTTGCGCTGACCAGGACAGCTTGAGAACTTTCTCTGCAATAGATTCGGGAAAACCACATTGTGATGCTGACGGTATTTGAGAGTCAGTAATGGGGTGATGATGAACTCTCAGCCAAGTGGCCCTCCTTCACCAATTGATTGATGGTTGGAGTTTGAACCTCCAACTGTCCTTGCTTCTCATCCTCTGTCTTGGCGGTGGTGCGGTGGAAGCCAATGTTGGCCCAACCCAAATCGTCAGCGAGGAGGAAAAGGACGTGTGGCTTAGGAGCCTTGGCAGCCTCTGGAGCTGCCGACACCGCCGCAAGAGATGCCGCGCTGACGAACCACTGAAGCTTCATCCCGTTTCACGGCTATTGCCGCAGGGAAAACTGAAAAGCTTGTTACAGAATAGTGAGCTGCGTAGACATGCTCATGCAACGGCCCTGTGCAACCAAGAAATCCAAGAAGAAAGAAGAATCACGAACAAACCGTTTGTTTTGAAAGTTGAATCATCCAAATTTCAACCACCAAATCAGAAAATTGATGACATTTGTGTCGATTCTGCAGAGCCGTGTCAATTTTTTCACTCATGACTTTGGCTGCGGACTATCTCGTGCCTCTTCCGCCCAGGCCTTGCAACATGAAAGCCGCTATCTCCCATTTTGACACAGCATACAACCTAAATGGATCTAGCTGGATCTAAATGGATCTAAATGGATTTAAATGGATTAAATGAATAATCCTGGGCAAATGTAATATGATGTAATTAGCTTGTCTCAGACCCAACTGGCGGAGTTTGTGCCCAGCCCAAGCTTCACTGAGGCCCAAGCCATGTCAGCACCTTTGGAGCTACGGCCGTGCCACGGATTGGGAGAAGACCCTGGGTGGCTCATGGCTGCGCTGCGCGGCCTGCCAGGGGTGTGGTTGGGCGAGGATGGAATCAATGGAATCCAGAAAAACATATGAAAAACGCAGTAGTGTAGTTCAATCTAATTCTCAATTTACTTCTCAATTTAATTCTGAATTTAATTCTGAACTTAATTCAATATAATTCATGCATGAGTCTGGAGTGAATCAATGGAGGAGGGAACGTGACAAAACAATTGAAAGAATCAATGGAGGAAGGACCATTACAAAAACATTGAAAAACAACACTGAATTTCACTTTAATTTTGTCAAGTGAAGTGGATGCTGTAAAAATTGAGCATGAGTTGAACCGCCATGTTGTCCTTTCGAGCCTGAAAGGCGATGCCTCTGACTCCGCTTCTGTGCGGGCCTTGAGAGATCTTCAACAGTGAGCCAAATCTATTCATAACTTGATTCATAACTCATAACCATCATTTGCAAAATGTGTAAGACATCTATGAAAAGTTGTGCACCACTGCTATTCTCATGAGTTTCCAAAGTAGATTTCCCCAGACTCACTGCCATCTGTGGCTAGGTTCCAGGCATCAGTTGCAGCGCTGCTTTGTGGACTGTACCTCAACTTCCGCAACGTGGCGGTCTCTAGAATTGCTACCCTCCAGTAAATTAACATAGACCCTGCCAGATGGGGGTTGAAAGACTAGTTTCCACTATAAATTGGTCAGTTTCAGGGTCTATGTTAATTTACCAGAGGGTACAGTAATTCTAAGTGTTCGCACCCATCAAAACGACTCGAAGACATTGCCACCTGCCGATTTACTGTCACTCTGGTCTGCCTGAAAAATATGGCGCAAATTTCATCGTTTATCATGTCATACACAAATATCGCCATCGAACAATATTGAACCTACCGAACATGGTAATTCCAGGATATTTAACATATTTACGGTAACTTGGGTAATTTCAGGATATCCCCGATCCAAATCATCCAACATCAGTTCGAAAAACCACCCAGGCCCTAGGCCACTGTCTGAGGCCACTGCGAAAGTGTGCCGCATGAACCTGTGCAGGACGGAGGTGATGTTGACCTCAGAAATCCCAGTTTCTGAGACTTGGGGATCTCCCATGGCCCATAGTTTTTGGTGAACTTTTCGGGAGAACAACTTGATTCATCTTGATTTGCATGGATTTGCCAAGTTTTAGACAGATCTTGGCAGATTCTAGATTTCCATCTCTTCTTGCAACGGAAAAAATCTTCATCAAAGAGCCAAGGGCCAAACACAAGACGGCTTGCCAATCGTGCCGCCTACAGTCGGACTAAAGATGCATCAAACAATCACTTGAACAGTTCCAAGAATGTTCCAAGTATACAATTTGTTACCCAAATTGAACAAACCTCAAGTACTTGTATAATTCATCATACGACATACTTCATCATTATGAACTATATACACGCTACGTATATCCTCTGGAAATAATCTAACATAGCAATGTGACAAAGGGAAGACACCGTGTCTCATTGTCGATAAACATGGTGAATGTTCGACAATAAGAGCGGTTCCATGTTCCACGGGAAGTTACATGGCAAGAATTGAGTACAGCTTGACGGGCTGTATCATTATCCATCCCACAATGAATGGGAAATCCCAGTCTGGGAATCCCTTTTACAGATGGAAATTACGTGAGCTGTGGCCGAAACCTGGGTATCATTCCTGCTAACATATGAGATCATATGAGTATGTCTTCCGCGAAGACTTGTGCGCTACTTCCGCGGACACAATTTCCACTTCTGCGGACGTTCCCGCACTACCATTCACTTCTGCAGCGCTTCGGCGAACATATGGGTATGTCTGAAAATGGGGTATACCCCCAATTATAGCCATTTATAGGGATAATGATCATTAACCATTGGGTTTAGGGGTACACTATTTTCAGACAAACCCATATCGTTGAAATAAGGAATGTGCAAGAAACACTTTTTGGGTTCCGCGGTGCTTGCACGAAGCTTCCGCGGTGCGGGCGCTATCACTTCCGCGAGATCATCTTACTGTAAGAAAACGATTTCTTTGGTGCTTTGGTCGCTGCTCACGTATTAGAGTTCTAACATGTTCTAACCAGAAAAATGAATGACACAATTGGATCTTACCCTTTTTCCGTTGATATTCATAGTTGCTATTAGTGATTATTAGTGTATATAATCCCTTCAACATACCTCTAACAGGGAAGGTAAATATACCCCCTAACACCATAACATTGATTTATCATTGTGTAAGTATCATGAATCAAATATGAATCATATGTTGCTAGTAGTTACACAAGGTATACTCCCTGCCCCCCAAAAAAAACCATACCATTGGATGAAACCATCAACCTCTGGCGCGTGCGCCTCCCGACGGTCTGGCAAGCGCGGTGCCTTGGCGGCCTCCACACGGGCCTCGCTTCATCAAGAGATGTGATCTTTATATACTTAACGCCAGACTTAAATCTTAAATGATCTTAAATCTTAAATGATAGTATTTATACAAGTGTTATATAATATGGCATATATATACATATATAATATATATATATATGCATAATACAAACATAAGTGTAAATGGAACATGTGCTTCGATTTACCTTTTGACTTGTTACCGTATAGTCCAACACAGCTCATATACAGTTCCAATGATCTCTGTTTGAGATCTGATGACAAATCATATTAATTACTGTATATTATATAATATTATAATATATATATATTATATTATTTCATGACTTTCATGTGGTCAGGTCCCAAATGCCATCCGACATTTCTTGCAGTTTCTCCCCCAGATTCTGGGCTCGCAACGGCTGCTGCTTGACACTGCAGAAAGTCGAAGAGGTCCGGTTTTGGAGGGAGGCCCAAGTGCCAAGCCTCTCCCATCTGATTTTGAGGCTCTCATCACGACTCCCAGTGAATTTTGCACTGGCAGTCTGGTGATCTGTGGTGAACATCCCCCGAATCTCCAAGAGAAACATTATGAGCAAATCAACAAATCAACTAACTAAGTGATCCAACGTAAATCAAAATCAACTGTCATACATAAACTATCACAAACAATCACTAATCACACTAATCACACTAATCACTAGTCACCCATGCTGCCAAGTTGATGCATCCACGCCTCTCTCCCACGTTGAAACCAAGCCTCCTCAATTCGTTGTTCCACCTGGAACGCAGAACGTAGGAAGAACATGGAAGAGCATCCAGTTATGAAATATAGTTATAGTATGTTATATTATGTTATAGTTATGGATTTTTCATGACACTTACTGGAACCAAAAAACACATCAACAAATCCAAAGGGATTTACTCTGCGACTCAAAACTTAGCAAAAACGCTTCTTAGGATTGGCTTCTTGGTGTTTGACGCACCTCCTCCCATGGCCAATGATGACCCAGCAACTCTCCTTACCGATGCTGCTGACAGCCGGATGCCAACGGTCCCATCCCCATGGTTTAACCATTGGTAGCTCCTGTAGTCTTCGCCAGGCCCAGGCATTTCATAAGCGCTCCAAAGCCATTGGCCTTAGCTGCTCCGACTTTGGAATGTGGGATTCACATGGATTCACCCATGGCTGCCATAAAGCTACTGGGGATGGTGGGTTTACCACGTTGAGATGGCGTCCTGGACCGCAATGGAGGACACTGAAAGGGGCCGTTCAGAAGTGACATCGCAGCAATGAGGTCCCTGCCAAGTACTGGAGAGCCGCTGCTTCATGATCCATCTGCAAGCAGTGAACCACAACTCTCGGCTCAATATAGGTTTGTTTCATTTAGTGTCTTCACCCCTACCCAATCACTACATTAGCTTTTAAAAAATCAAGAAGAGACCCAGACCAAGCACGGGCAATCTCCGCTTCGCCCTGCCTTCACACCACTCTTGGAAGCCCTCACCTCGGCATCCAATGGACTTCCGACTATAGATTTTACATGATTTTACACTGGACCACACAAACCAAAAGCAAGCTTGGATTTTGAAATTACCACAAACATACAGAACTAAACCTGTCATTCACCTTCAATCCTGATTGCCCGCTCCCTGGTTCTCCGACACGTCCACGGGGAAGTTCATGTTCGAGAGAATCCAAGCGCAATGCAAAGCCTGTCGTCCCCGCCATCAACACAAGGAGACCACTTGTGCGCCCAAGGTGTCATGGCAAAAAGGAATGGTAGAGAATGGTGTTCCAGAGCCGGATACTGACAGTAGACTACGAAATATGAAATCTGTGGGATTCTTAAGCCATCCCAAATGGATGTAATACGTAATGGATTCGGTGAATGACATTGTCATAAAGCTACCATTCGGGGATGATACTTACCACCCATTGATGGTGATCTTAGTATATCTTAGTATGGTTTATTGTTGGCTTTACTAGAATAGGCGCGGGCAGGATCGCACCTTCAACTTTTTCAACAACACTCGCGGAAACCTCAGCCAAGCCAGCCAAAGGTGCTCACAATATGATGAAGACATTGGCACATAACAACATGTCACAGCATTGGATGTTGATTCAGCTGTCAAACGTAACCTTACATTATCTCTCTTTGCCATGCGTACTCATACTCGTTCCATATTCAGTGGATTACTATGCATTATGCCATTATGCATTACTGTGTCAGAAGCTGAGGAACAGCCGAGGCTGCAACATTTGTAGCTATCCGCTGTTCCGATTCCTCCTGAGCTCAGCTCGATTCTGCTCGAAGGTGCTGTTTGGCTTTGCACCAATCTCTCCGCCAAGTTCTTCCCATTTTCAGCCATTTTCGCTATCGAATCATAATTGCTTCTTGGAACCACAAAACAACCATTTATATCATTTATACAGCAAGATAACATCTTCCACTGCATTTGCTGTGAAACAAGCCCAGGAACCCAACCTGTGATTCCACAATAAACTGCTGGACGGCTTGAGAGTTGTTCAGCAATTGCTGCTCAACAGCCTGTGATCGAACGATGAATTCTCTGTGATGCATCCGAATGAGTTGAATTGAATGATCATTGTCAACTCATGATTATTGTATATCATTATTATATAATCATTATTGTATATATTATTTTAATAGATGATTTAAACATATACATATATAATTATATAATAATATATTTATGTGATAATCGCACTTTCACAATCCAGCTTTGCCTCCAGACTCCTTGCTGCTCAAGCAGATGCCCGGCGCCTCTGCAAATTCTGCGAATTGCTGGTGGAAAGTCTCCTCACAACGACCTCGAACGCAGCCAAGTAATGAAGGGATTTCATGGATTTTCACCATATTTTCACAGGGTTTTACCAGGTTTTGAACGTGTTGCAGCTTATAGAAACATTGAACATGGGATTGGCTTGCTTATGACAAGGAACACTTGGACTTGTTGAATTTCACTTCCTTTCAAATCAGTTGATGGAGTCATGAACTTATTGAACATGTACAAGTGCGGTGGATCCCACTACAATGGATGAATATGCTGACTTACTCTTGATGCTACCGCAGGGAATAGAATAGGGACAGAACTGCTAGTTTGATCGACGGCTCATATGACAGTCTTGCTGAAAACCAAACGAAAAGGAAAAAAGTCCTTGAGCACTGTCAAAATGCCTTTGGCCAGGAACACAAAATGCTTGTGATGTGCTGTCATTGAATCACGATGCAACTGATGCAAAACTGCAGTGCAGTTTGGCCGAGCCACCAATTTCTTCAGCCTTCTGGTTTCCATCCTGCCCATCCAACACAGCAAGCAATGGGTATAGGTCAAAACCCAAAAAAACCCTGGTGGACATCAAAATAGCTGGGATTTATGGATGTTCATTCCCCTAAAAATGGTATATTTTCATAGGTATTGACCCATACCCAAATTTATGCAGGTGATACTCATTTCAAGTCAAAGTAAATCTCCTGCAGTGGTTCACCATCTTTGCCCAGGGCCTCAGGGCACCCCGCCAAAGCCAACCATAGACGTGGGAGTGGTGCAGGTGTTGAGAACTCCTATGTACTCTATTATACTCCTATGATATTCTATGAATGTTAAAACTGCGTGGGCGCCGGCGTCCAAAGCATTGAATGTGGCCATGCTAAATGCATCGGAATTTGGCATGCGCCCAGCACTTTTCAAGTTTTCCCGGGGCCTTCATCTCTTCTTTCAGAGCAGCTGACATTTGCATCACCTCCTATCAGGTCTGACATGGGGATGCAGTGTGTAATACTGTGGTAAGCCCAAAGCCATTGAACCATCTTCAAACCATCCCCATAATGCCAAAATTGACAATTTGCTAATGGGTGGTTATAACTAACATCTTATAAACCTTTGCCATCCCTAACTGGTAGGTTTATGGCACTGAGTGAATCTCACCCAGGTCCTGTTGAAACTCTGCACAGCATGCAGCAGCCACCTCCTGGATCGAGGCCGGCTCTGGCTACAGCATGTTAAACCCAAAGCATCCCTTGTCCATAGGACATCCTATTCTGGCGTGATGTTCCCATAAACTATGAACCATAAAAACATATAAAAACCATTCATTGTTGGCTGTATCATTGGGTTTACATATTACGGTTTACCACAGTGTCTGACTATCCGAAATTCAAACACTCAAAACCTAGAATTATAAAGCGAGGCTTGCCCACTCTACTATATGATTCTGGCATCTTCAGTGAACAAGCGATGATCCGACCTATAAACAAAAATCCGAAACGCCCGAGGCAAATCCATAAATATCATTGAACATCTTCATTCCCGTCGTTCCCCCAACAGAAAAGAACAGAGTGAACAGTACCCGCAGCGACATTTCTGTCTCAGCTCGACCATTTGCCCATCTGCTCATGTAAAGAAACTTGACTTTCAGTCAACTTGCGCTCAAAACAAATTCAAAACACACACACACATATATATATAGATATATGGATGCACCATTCTACCAATTGGATAACCATGGTAGAATTCTATATGGATAACATTGGATTTTCCACCCTTCTGCAGTGTCCTGCGCCAGCGCAGCAGCTTCTCTGGCAGCTGTGCTGGAGGCCTTTTTGGTCTCTGAAAAATGGTGATTTAGTGGGATCGGATATGACTACCCTCTGGTAAACTAACATAGCTATTGAAAATGGCCATTTATAGTGGATTTACCCATTAAAAATGGTGATTTTGCATAGCTATGTTAGTTTACCAGAGGGTAATGGACATGTTAGATCATTTTAGATGGTTTTATGATGTTTTATGATGTTTTTATGATGTGTGTATGATGGATTGTATGATGGTTCTATGGTGATATCCCATCTGAAAATAGATGATTCCATGATAATCTAATGGGATGTGAATGGGGTCTTCACGGGATATCAACAGGATGCAGCCAACAACAATAATAAAGAAAATGATGATCAACCAGTGCATGGAATGGGGCACCCTATTTTCAGACAAACGCATATGATGTACTTAGCCAAGCGGGATAATCATTCCAGGTAGGATGGAACCTCTGAGGTTGTGGAACCGGTGGAACTGGTGCGCTTTGTGTTTCCTCAGTGAACGGAGGATTGGACTTAGGGCCCCTACATAGGCAGCAAGCTCTCGAACTTCAGCCTGACACGAACGCTGGCTTCAACAAGGAAACAACTCGTCACGTGTTGGGGGTTTCTACCTCCAAATAACAGCTCTAAAGGCTTTCATCTAATTTTGGATGGGGCTGCTGGACTGAGATATGATATAGTATGGGAGATGATGAGGCAACCAACTACTATAGTTGCACTGCAACCAGCCAGGGGCCTCCAAAGCACACATCCTGGCCTGTGTCAGGGTGACAACATGAGTCAAGATCAACAATCACAATGTATCTCGATATGCAAAAACAAACGGCAAGTTCTGGACTACAACCTGTGCATAACACTCCAGTGCATGAACAACAAACTACAAAGGGAGACCAATAACCATGACACTAAGCTGCATTAAGCACAAATTCTTTAAGACTTCCCAATCATACACTGTTCCCTTCAATGGAGCCATGAAAAATACCCGTTTTCCATCCCAATGATACGGTACGATTGGTGAGGCCAGGTTGTATTCCCACAATGGGTCTCATGATAATCCCCCAGTCCAGCCGGTCTAAGATGGTCCAAGCCTTCAAACCATTGCCTTCTTTGGGTAGCTTTGGAGGCTTTGATGCCTCTGGCTGCTCAGGCTCCTGTCATTGACGACAGAAACGGATAGACATGTGACTGGATCATGGACACACAAGGCACAAATCGTGATCAAACAACATCAAAGTACTCAGAATTATCATATGAATCATCATATGAATTATCATGAATTATCCACTCCTCTTGATGACTTGAGGATTCTCTTGTGGTGGCATTTCATGACAATGCACAACGAGAGAATATTTTAAGAGGTTGAGTCCATGCTTTTCCTGCATCTCTTGGCTGTCATTCTCAAGGACCTCCGCACCATCCGTGCTATCCACCTGCCACAGATTCTATCCCGCAAAGCGCTTGGAGAGGGCCCGCCAGGGGGACTCAAAGGATCTCTACTGCAGATGTAGGCTTGCTCTTAGAGAAGCCCAAGGAGCCTCCACACCAGAGGCAGTTTCTGTAGCGTCCTGAAAACACCAAACTTTGGACCAAGCTGGAAAGCTATCACTTTAATAATCGAAGCGGCTTCATAGAAGCCGAGTAGGATGATAGTATTAAGCCTCCCTCTGCATGTTTTGAAATTATTCAACGCAACTATCATCAACAATCGATATCCATCTGCAATATCTACATTTGTCGAAAAGTGGTGTATACTAACAACATCTAACAACTCTACCCACCTAAATGATGAGAATCCATCGAACTGGTCCTCGGGTGACGCAGTTGATGGCGTTGCAGGCCGTGAGCTGCGGCATTCCTGCTGTGAAGCAAGACATGCAAGATTCGAAGGTGGTCATCCAGTTGAGCTATCGGATCTATCGGCTATCGACCACAAAGCCTTAACTTTCAACAACCTCATTAGCTATTGCCATGATCAAACCCTTGTGGCTAAGGATTTTCAAGCACCATCTACATGGCGATTGTTCCTCAGGGATCCTCAGAGAGGGTCCTTGGGATCTGCCGGACGCTGCACGTCGTCCTCGGACATGTTGGACCTTGAGAAACACGACCGAAATGGTCGAGATGGAGATTGGAGAGAAACATTTGTTGATCTTCAGAATTCTTCAGACATCTTTTCAGTATGCTCTATTCTGCCAGTCTGTGAATGAACATTGTGCATTGATATATTGATATACAGTGTTATACTCTTTCTGAGCTTGCAACGGAGACGAACCTGCACTTTTACGACACAGAGCTCAGCTTCAAACCGGGCAAAAAGGAGTGGTTGATCTGTCTGTTTGGTGATCTGAAATATTCTGGAATATCTATTTGGGGCCCTTAAGCAATGGTCGGTCAACAGCATGTGAATCTTGAATCAATGTGCAAGGACGGTTTAAGGTCCAAGTTGAATCTCTGCGAGCAAATCTTCAAGTCCAAACTAAATACATTTATCAAGTCAACTTTTTGGTCCTTCTTCAATTTCAACTGAATCCACATGAATCCACAAATTTGACAGAATCCAATTCACAATCCTAACCTCCCAACATCATCCAACATCATCCAACATCATCCAACATCCCAAGATCTTCAGCGCCTTCCGTAGCAGCCTCTGCGGATTCCATGGTCGGCTCCTGCCCTTGCGCATCTTGCGCAGGCGTTGGTGCCTGTGTCGGTCCATGATTCCCCCAAGTTTGAACCACACCTCAATGGATTGATCAAACTTGATTAACTGGAATATCTACAGGAAACCATGGGTATTTTCTCCAAATATGCCAGAAATCCACTGAGAATCTATATCTTTGAACAATCAGTTATGTATATATAATATATATATATATATCAATTTATCAGCTACATCACCACTTTTAGATACTTTTGGTGGTTACAGTTACATCACATCCTTGGTTAAAAACTGAACCCGGTCTGGGCACCTCGTCCTCGGCCTGATCTTTGGGCCCGGCTTCAGCACCTGATCTGGGCGAATGGCTGGCATCAAAAAAGTTGGCCTGTGGATGCCTATGGTTTAAAAATCAAAAAATATCAAAAAAAACATGATTTAACATTGTTGAATATTGTTGACATGGTTCGCATCAAAACTCAAGGTTTACTGTAACACGGTTCATCAAAAACCGGTGGTTGAACCATCCAAGAATGGGCAACCATGAAACATTGGGAAGATGGAGCGGAAATGGGGTGCGGCTTGGGGCTCAATTATTTTGAGCCATAGCTGATAATATAGGAATATGTTGGTTGTTGTGATCCGTTTAGATAGTGGCAACTGTGCTTTGACTTCATGACTCCATGTAGCGATATGGAGAAAATCAATATCAAACAGCAATAGATGGAGACACACCACATAGATCCAAATAGAGCATCAAAACTATGTGTCCAAACAAGGGCAAACACTACCTGGAAAACCACAGGCTTACCACTTTGGCGTATGGAATGGAGGATTTGGGTGGATTCAAAGTTTCCCGGGTGCCAAGTTGGTTTCAGTTCTCCAAATTTGACATTTCGACTCCAAAAGATGCAAGAAACCCATCTGCCTTGGCCTTCAGCCTCTGCCTTCTGCACGCACTCCTGGTGTGGCCCCATGATGCGAGACCGAAAACAGCTCCCAGCAACTCTGTCCAGTCCTGGCATGCATGGAAGTAGCAGTCCTCACTGGGACATTTGAAAACTGTCTGCCTGGCACAGTGGCGGCTTCAGAAAGTTCCAACTTGGAATCGATCCGCAGTGGCCACCTTCAGTTTCCGTGAATATTCAAACGTATTTGGTTGCTTGTACCGTCTTTTTGCATCACAGTCCAAATGCGGGCAAACGATTTTGTCCATGATCCCAAGATAGAACCAAGTAAAAACGCAGCTTCCCATGACTGCAAACAACTGGTTTGCGAACAGGCTTCCAAAAGCAACGAAACCAACATCCAGACTTTCTCAAAGCATCAAACCAATTAAGTTTGCAAAGATCATCAAAGATCATCAAAGATCTGGAAAAAAACACATGATTCGATCATCGTTTTCATCCATGGAGGATTCACCCTGGAGTTGTGTTTGTTTCTCTCAACCCGACACACCTTTGGCATCGACAAAAGCCGCATTGCTTTGGTGGACCATCCGTCTCCTCTTCTGGCCTCATGATGATCACCAAGTTTGGAGCGCTGAGGTGATCGTCAACTTTTGTCAATAGCACCGGCTGCCATACCATCTGGTTATGACTAACATAACCATGGAAAATCACCATTTTTAATAGGTAAACCATCTATTTTCATGGGCCATTTTCCATGGCTATGTTAAATAACCAGAGGGTAGGTAATATGATAAAACATATATGATTATATGACGATGATTAGATCGTTTTTATACTTGTATGATCTTGTATGTACTTGCATCAACAGAACCTGGTTTTGTCACATGGTCATGATGAGATGATTTGATATGTCCACTTTCATCAATAGCACATATACTGTATGACCATGATGATTAGATCATATTAGATCATATTAGATCATATTAGATCATATTAGATCATATTAGATCATATTAGATCATTAGTAACTCGTTGTACCATGTGACCATTGAAGAAACCTCTTGGTCCGATGCCACAGCTGAGCTTCGCACACCAACAAATGTCCTCGTAGGCACCGAGCACTGGCAGTTTCTTCGCCTTCGGGAGCATCGGTCCTGTGGGGTCACCGCGAAGTGACTATGAGACAACCATCAAATGGGGCTCAGAATATGCTATACTTCCCTCATTTTATGGCCATATGTATATCTCGTTGTAAGAAATTGTGTTTGTGTGTGTGAGTTTATAATATTTTATAAAACTGATTATATATATAAATGATGTGATTGTATACTGGTAGTATTTGATGATCTAAAATCATACTGTATAACTAATCTATTTGGGTGATGGTCCGAAGCCCATCTGCTCCTGCCCTCATCTTCCTCTGGCTGCCATTGCCTTGGCCCATCCAGTGCAACGATTTCAGGACAGGGGCTTTGTCTGCAAATGGGGTACCGGGGTACCCCCCAAATTTGACAATTAATGATAATCAATGATCAGTTTTCCATATTTTCCCCCAATTAAAACAACTTAAACTGGCAATTTGGGGGTTATCCCATGTTATCCCCTATTTTTAAACAGACCCCCAGTGAAATTCAACAGCTGGTTTTGGCTGCAAAACTTTTTTGGGGCTGATTGCAAATTAGCGGCGGCAATCCCAGGAGGGCTTCGATTCGAGAGGTCCGACAATGCAGAATACCCAGGCGTTCGAAAATGGCCTGACACAAGGGATTCCGCAGTTGGACATATATTGCAGCTGAACCAGGACAAATGCGGCCAAAAATATGAACGGTAGCTTGGCTTTATAGGCTATAGGTGAAGTTTCATGAGAACTGATGACATGTCAATGCCTGCACCCTTAGATTTTTCCCAAGCATGAAGTACCCAAGGCTGTGCTTTCGGGGCTGTGCAGTCTTGACTGCATAAGGGGCAAACCCAATTTCAAGGATCTTGTTTGAACAAAGTAGGTACTTCCGCAGTAAAGCCAGATCTTTGCATATCACTGTATCCCCCCAAAACGGCAATATACTGAAGCATTGTTAATTTATGTTAATTTTATATAATATGGCCCTTTGGGGAGTGACAACGGCAATAACATGAATCGTTTGGTGCTTCTTGTTGCCCCCTTCCCAAATCTTCAGCACACCTGAATGATCTCTTCTGACTCACCGGCCAATCTTTCACAACCCTGACAGCACTGCATCAATTCAACAGGCAACACCTGAGTGTCTCTGCACTTGTGCGTTCTTCCATTTGCAAATCATTAAACCATATCAAACCTTTTTAAACACCTTTTGTATCCTTTTGTCACTTGTCTCTGTCAAGTGGAGCCCCGGTACAAAAACTGTTGGGAGACTCCCAAACTGCAGTTCCGCATCTTCACGATCAAGCAAAGCAAGTTGTGCCTCGCGCAAGCTGTCGATGTTCGCGCCAAGTAGCCCGACTTTTACAGTCAAGCCCTAGCGATGCCAATGCAACGAATTGGTATCGATGACTTGGACATGCTGCCGCCATCCAATGACCCCCGTCCAACCTTGATTCCGCCACCCCATGGAGCGCCGGATTCTTCATTGATGGCCGAAAAAGACCTTCCAAATCAGATGTGAAACAAAGGTGGATAAATTTCTGGGCTTGATGCAAGATGGGTGTGTCTGAAAATGGGGCGAATCGGATGGAAAAAACGATATATACCATAGAATATACCTCCAAATGGCTATTTCAATGAGGAAAACAACCCAAAAAACCATCAAATTTGGGGGATAATTACAGAGGATACCATAGACATCCATGTCGACATCCATAGACCATGGGATGCAGTACTGCACCTCTGCAGCTCCACCTCCCCCTTTGGGGACTCAGTGGACACCTGGCTTTGCGGTCGGGAGAAGCACTAATGTCTCTGAAAGGAAAACCAAGAAATTTAGGCTTAGTTTGTCTAATACTCACTTTAGTATCATCAGAATATCATCAGAATAATCATCAGAATATCATAACTTCTTAAAATGTAGACACCTTCCCAAAACCTCAAAGTATGCTATTTTATCCATAAGAATGGGAAAGTTCCAGAGGAATAGGCTACTGGCTCAAAGTAGCCTGAAAAAATAGGCAATTACGGCGTTCCAGGTATATATATATAAATAGATTGTGCGAGGTTAAACCATCTGAGATATCATATATTATCCCTATCAGCTCAGCATTTTTCATTTTGGACCTCCAACGCAAGTGATTTCAGAAGATTCATGGCATCTCAGTGAATGGATCTTGTTCCGACAAACCACCTCTTCCACCTCCTCAGCTGGTTTCTCTGGTGTGTCAGTCGCCATACGAAGCCTCTGACTGCGTTCTGAAGTTTCGGGTCATGAAGTTGATACAAACAGTTCTCAATGATAGAGTGACAGCTGTTACCTCTCAAAATCAATGGCAATTAACAATCGTGAATCAGGACTTGTGCGTTTTTTTTAACAATCTCCTTCGGGACTGTATCCCTTCAGTGTTTAGGATCTGATCAGGCACAAGCAGCACCCAATAACATTAATTAATAACACCTTTCCAAGCAATCGAAAATGGTTTTGATATGTTTTGATGTCTTTCCACACCGGAACTAGCATATCGGATCTGTTCATATCTGTTCTGGACCCTTTTCACCATCTGTACGCTAATTCTGTGTGAATCAGACCGCGATGACTGATGCATAAAGCATGCGTTAAACACCCACATCGAATAACCGTGGACCTACGCCCTTGTCGTTCAGTATGGATTTTGATCGCCTTGAAACTTGATATGGCGACACAAAGTGCAAGCCCAAAGTGTTTGAACCGTGGTTCTGCATGTGTTGACTTGACTTGCATTACCCATGTTTCTGGTTGTCCTTGGTGTGCTGCATGTCGCTTTTCAATCTGTAAATCCGCAAACCAAAGAAGAAACCGCGGTCTGTCTACCATCAATCATGAAGAACCGTCGCAGTTTTCTTCGAATAGGACCATCATGAGTCAACTCATGTCCCATAAAATGAATTGATACAACCTCGGGCCAGGATGGCAAGCGGCGACAATCCGACAATCCACTAATTGCAGTCCCTTCGTCCTCTTCGAATGGACCTGAATGACACCTGTCTGCAAATTGGACACATTATATATGGCACACAAGGCACTGCATATGCAAAGATGTTCCAACAGAATCGCCAATCTCAACTCGCCAACACTGCAGTGGTGGCAGAGTCTCCTTTTTATTTCTTCACACGGCTGTCTCTCTGGGATGTGTGGCATTCATGTGGCTTGGGCCCCAGTGGCAAAACAGATTTACTTAGTAACTTAGTATTGAATAGTATTGAAATATATTGAAATATATATATATATATTAAATATATATTGAATAGTATTAAATACTTAGTGTCAATGAATAGTATTGAAATATATTGACATGACAGCAAACTGGGCCACAGGAAAACAATGGAAAACAGCTAGTAAAGCACCACCCAAGGTCGTCGGAAATTGGCCAATGCCAAAATCATACGGACTTCTAGTGCTCCAAAACTTTTGGGCAAACACTGTGTGAGCAAATCTGCACGTGCTCACAACAATCTTAGACTACAGGTGAGCTGTGCCTTTGGATCTTCAGGAAAACTGCAAGAGCGGACTGCTCTGCACTGCAAAACGTACTCCATACGCTTCTAGCAACTAACTATAGAGTTCTACATTTCTTTCCATTCCTATTCATCCATCTTGCAGGCTTCTGTTCTCACCCTAGGCAAACGGCTACTAGTTTTCAAAGCATGTAAAAACTAGGTTTTCAATAGCTTCAGCTGGCCTAGTTTCACCAGGACATCCTTAGCAATCCATGGAGTCAGCGTGGCAAACTTCGCATCTTCAATCACTACCGTAGCATGCTGAGCAGCAAAGGCCATGACAATCTCTTTGATGTATGCAACGATTTCGTCAGCCATTTCATCCTTGACGCTGCCTGGCGTCTCTGTTGCCCGGGCCACCACATTGAGGACATCGCACACATTGGACAAAACAAGTCCTACAAGCGAGAGTGCTGCAAAAGTATGCAAAAGATTGCAAAAGTAGGCAAATCTGCTGATTCTTTACGAGGGTGTGAATGAAGTTCCGGGCGCACTTTAATCAGAATCGCTATCCGCTATTGAAACAACCAGCAAGGTCCGAATGCAATTAAACATATTAGTAATCATATTAGACTTTATCATGTCTCCCGGAGCCGTAGCTGGGCCAGTCCTTGTTTCACCAAGTCTGAAGCCAATGCATGAAAATTAATGTGAAAACAATGCTCCAGGCAACCACACAGATTGTCGCTGGTGATGGATCGGACAAGTGTGCTGGCGCAGAGACTGGGAAGTCCGGTTTCATCATCATATTCATCAGCGAGTTGAAGCAATTCCAAAAGGGTCTGAGGCTCCGCATCAAGCACGTTCTCATGTATGTACTTGCCATACGCATAGTGAGTCTTCCGTGAGTAGTTTTGAAGGGTCACCTTCCTCCTCTTTCCATCCTCCGGCATTGATACCTCCTTCATCTTGCTGTCGATCATTTTGGTCAAGTATGGCGACCGAGCTCGAATGGTATCCCAACCAAAATGTATGGGTTCTGGTTCATCTGCAGCCCACACTTGAATATCACAGCAGGAAGGGTCATTGAACCGCGCTTGGTAGCCTTGCACTTCTGTCTGCGCGCATACCACGCGTGAGCGTAGAACCACTGAACGCTCTTTCAAGGGGAAAAAATCCTCGATGTTGTTGCTGTGTCCAAACAATGAACCAGCTGCACCACAAATGTAAAGCGCTCCCTGCTCATTCATGAGAACTGAAACGTCCAATTGTGGGTGGGCGAAGATGTCAACCACTCGACCCTGAACTGCTGGTGGCAAGGTGATTGCTGACAAAAGGTGATTGCTGCGCAAGTTGCGACCCAACTGACCACTTCCGCCAGATCCACATCCCAAAACTGTTCCCGAAGAGCTCAGGACCAGTGAGTGAGCATTGCCGCAGCATGCCTTCTTGATTTGCTCTTTGCAGCAAATTCGGAGTGGCTTGGGGCAGCTGCCTTCGATGTTATGTCCCAGGCGGTAATTGCCGTTGTATCCGAAAGAGTACACAGACTCTTGCTCACAAATCACCATCGAATGGGAAGCTCCACAAGCGACAAAGCTGGCAAAATGAAAGGAACCAGAATCCATCTTCAATTGAATTTCTTGGAACTCTGACACTGAATTTTGTTGATGCCCCAACCCAAGCTGTCCATTGCCATTGGTCCCGCTTGCAAGAACACGACCATCTGTAGTCAAAGCCAAGCAGTGATTGTCACTGCAAGCTATCTGGACCACCTTGAGGGCTTGAGGTTAAGAGATTGCAAACATCAAGAAAGCAGCAGAAAAAATGGCAAAACAAATGAACACAATCATGCATAATTTATTCTGGAAGTTCACAGTCTATTGCTTGTCATTTGGTCGGCCCATTCTTGACAATCATCTGCACACCTTCGTACACCCACATGCAACCACTTCTCCCCACACCTTCTTCTCCGGCAAAAGTCGAGTCATCACAGCACCGGTCAGTGCAACCGAGAATAGTTCCAGCAAATGGTTCAGCACAAATGCCTTTGGATATGGAACGGCATTGGTATGCACTCACTGTCACGTCAAAGCGGAAACATGGGATAAACACAGCTTCAACAGAATGTAAATGTTGTGAAACTATGTGACCCAACGACGTGACCCAACTACGTGAAGAATTGCCTACAATGCAAAATCATATTTTCGGCCAGGCAATTGCATGCAACTGCTGTATAATGATATGATATGTAATACAGCTGGGGCAGTGATAGCTACAGTACACGGCGGCACCCACTAAAAACCCTCCTTGCCCTCAGGTGCCTCTTGCTTTGTCCCGGTGATTATCACAGCGGCAGCATCAGACTTCCTAGTTCCAGTCAACTGCCAGGCTTGCTTGTTGTTCCAAATCTCATTGAGTTTCGTGTGGTTCTCTCCAGTCTCGAGGCAGGCCGTGTAGAGCTTGTTGTCTTTCCCCAGAAACAATGCCTTCTTGGTTCCAGGGAAGAGGTGCAACCGCAGCAAGCCCTTCCTGCTTGCGAAAGGGGTTCAAGTAGACCTTATTGGGTTATATTGGGTTGCCTCATAGTGAGAGTTTCTTGAGACTGACAATGCTATGATTCATCGTATGATATTTCTTTGCTGCTCCTATCGCTATCGTCGCTATACAACCGGTTGGAGCGCTGTTTTACTGGAAAACAGGCCGAAGAAATTGACGTTTCTCCATGTTTCTCCATTTGTTTTTGGTATAGTATCTGTCAACTAATCAGTAGCCCAGCCGGCCAATTCTAAAAGCTTACGTGGGGAAGATATTTAATGATATTTACACTGTGACATAAACTGTTTGCCTGCTTGACATCGGTGCCTCAACTGCTCCGCAAGGAAGCCGGTCACAGAGTCACCATTGCTGTCATCAAGGCCCTGAACAGCAAACAGCGGCAATAGACTGAGTGGACTGTGCATCAGTGGCACAGGGGATCACAGGGGTACCAAGTACATGAACAATCCGTGGCAGTATCTATATAATTGCTAAAGCTGACCGCTGACCCTGTGCTTCGATAAGTCTGAAGTGAATTCTTCCTCGAGTTCAGAGGCAAATCAAATGGACAACTTGGATGCCAAAACTCGCTCAGCCTGTTGACATGACCCGTGGACCGTTCAAGGCTTCGGGCCTCGACAACTCCGAGCAAAGTTGGCTGCAGAGATCAGTGCGCTGACTGAAGGGTAGATAGATGTCAGGCTTGTGCCGGTTGCAAACTCTGTGATTTCTTGTCCAAGTGCTTGGAGTAAAGTTATTCCAAAGGGACGGACTGCTATGTTCCAGTATGAATCAAAGTGCTCCACGCTTTTTCTCTTGACGGAGCTTGAGTTCAAAGTAACACATCAGAGACGGTGAAACGACTTTCACAGCACTGAATATGCCTTGTCCGTTATCAGTCGGCCTGAAAGGACCTAATGTTTCAGAATCCAGACATTCACAATATTTTTTGGAAGGCAAATCAGAATGAACATGATGCCATCATCCCCCTGGCCTGCAGCCTTGCTTTGAAAACATTGGCGAATTCAAAGCACCACTAAGCCTTTTCATCCAGAACAAAAAACGACAACCGCAAATTGGTTTGAATCGGCTGACAAACACACCCTGGCGTGGCCCGATCATGTCTCGAGAATCACGTTAAGATTCTGAGCACGTCCAATGTTACCTCAGTGAGATCAAAACGATCAAGATGGGGTACATGTCAATCCGAAGCCAAGTTTGAGCAACCATTGTATCCCACTTGCATGCAGCATACAATTTGCAACTCTGGAACCATGGAAAGAAGTGCTGAAGTAATTCCTGTCTCAAGCGTGCCTTGCTCAAAAGAGGTCTTCTCAGGCACATGGCACCCCACCATGACCTGCAATCAGGCGCAAGACTTTGATTCTCGGGAGCCGAGGCCCAACTGTAGAAAACCTGGACGCATTGTGCACCAATTCACCAGGACGTTGAAACACAAATTATGCGAATCGTCCAATTCTCCGTTTAAGTAAGGACATGTGAATGCTATTAACTGCTATTAAACACTAAAACGCATTAAGCAGGTGTCGCCACGGCAAGGAGCTCACCAGGCGTTCTTTTTTGATTACCCCTCAAGCAAGTTTGCACGAGTTACCCTTTGCAAGACCGGCAAGTAATTCACCATCCCTGCGTTGTATGAGGCGAGTCCATGCGAGTCCAAAACTTCTTGATCTGGTTGAAAACAAAAACAACATTTTTTTAAATGGGAAACAACGTCATTTGATGGCCTCCCTTGCACCTGCACATGATATAGGATGCGCTGATGTGTGGCATCCTTGAACTTTACACAGTTCACCCCTACATGACCAATACATCATACATCATATACGTTTGACGTAGAAATGTAACATTGCGCTTCCGCAGTGGTCCAACATCTGCAGTACCTCATGGCAAAACTAACAAACCCAGGGCCCTCGCCTGGGGAAGAACAGTCAGCCAAAAAAGGCACCAGGGCAATGTATGCAGCATCAAAATGGTGCATGTTAAAACCTTGGCTTGAACATGTTTGAAAACTTCAATGAAATTCAATGATACACATGTTCACATGTCTCCAGAAATGGCACCCCTCCATGGCTGAAACCCGTGGCTACGCTTGGATCATGCTGTCTGACAAATGCACAAACAGATTCCGGCAATTTGACGAATCCCCCTGTGGAATCACATACTGCTGGCATTTCGGCTTTTCCGCTTGACGGAGTCTACATAGCGCTGACGGGTGAGACGGCGAAACAACTAAGCCCGGCTAAGTGGTGTGAGTTTGTTTGTCTGTCTCTTGCATCTTCCCTCTTTTGCCTTCACATGTGCTAAGGATTTGTGCTTTCTAGAAAGTCCTTCCAAACCCTTCTGAGGCTGGCATCATGCCCCATCACTGTGCGTTCCTTTTGCCTGCAGCATGAGAGGCACGACTTGATTCAGCTGGTGAAAAACCACAACAAACGGGACTCGAGCCTCTCCATTCATGGGATAGCACCGCACCCGTGGCTTGATTTGCCCACCCAGGCGCTTGCGATACTTTCTCCTGGCGAATTATTAGCGCTGGGTTGAAACATGTTGTCACATCCATTGATACATATTCAGGCATGTTGAAACATATATAGATATATTGAAACCATCTCCAAAAAAACACCGAAGTGATCTCTTCAGTTCTGTTTGATTTTAAACAGCCATCATTTTCTCCAAAGGGCCGTCCTCACGCATGACTGTGTTCCATCCAATGTGCGGGTACCATAGATGGGTTGCATCGTTGAATGGAGCTCGGTGTAAAGGCCTGGAACATCGATGGAGCCGGAGGAAAATCCTATGTTTTACTCCCGAAATATTCGGTTTCTGGAGATTTTCCAACAAAAAGACTAGGATACAGAGTCGGCACCGTAGCACTGTAGCTGTTTATGCTGTTTCCAATTAGTTCCATGGAAACCTTCTGAATTCCAAAATAGAGATGAGAACACATTCCAAATCGGCAGTACTGTGTGTCTTACAGGGTATGCGCAAAAATCATCAAGATTCCATCGGATTCCCTTGGCAAATCTTGGCAAAGGCAACGTTCCTGTTCTCCACTTTTCGGGACGTAAAAACACTGCTCTTCTGGAATCTTCTGGAACAACTATAGACCCCTGTCCTGGTGAGAGGCAGCCAGTGTCGGTCTTCACTGGACCACCGTCCTGACAGAATCATCTGATGGCGACTGAGTCTTTTTGGGGGGTTCTACAGAAAAGTGCGTTTACTGTATACCTAAGAACTATATAGAACTATGATGTTCATGTGGAAAACGAGAACCCGCTGGATCTTGAGGTACCGCATTTTCAGAAACACCTACTAGATCCTCTTGGTGTTTTGGTCTATCCAGAAATTGTATCGATCTCGCAGATGCCAACTTCCGTGAGTATCCACAATTTTTGCAAATTGACGTTGTGCATATTCAGGGCATAAAAAATCAGAGCACTGCAACTGGGTGCAACTTGTCATACACTTGCATTTCTGTGACAAGTTGTGAGTTGCTGAGAATATGGAAACCATAAATGTCCAGACTCTGCTTCTCATCCTGGTGCACGCCCTTTATATCCCTTTATATCCCTTTATGTCATTCAAAACTGAGGTTCCTAGCTAGTAGTTGAACCATTTAAAGTTGATCAAGTAAGTGTAGGTCAAATTTCAAAACAAGAACCCACATGTTTTCGGCACTTGTTTACACCCCTTAAACCATTCAATTTTCACATTCTGAGACAATCAATTCATCAATTTTGTTGCTACAATGTCTTGGTTTATGGCTTCACATAGACAATTTTCATGACAATTAAACCTTATTCCACGGTTTCTCTACACCTTTCCGGGGTTCCCATCCCCGGTGGTTCACTCAGTTCACTCCTTGAGACCATGGCCGGCGAAGGTATCCGCCACCGTGCGCCGGGTCTTGGGGAAGGTGTAACACCTGGCATCCGTCCAGGTTTAAGTGGAGTGACTGGAGTGACTGGCAAATCACAATGGGATTCTATATATAATTCTACTATAAATGACGGTAAATATCTCTCAATTATAAATCATATTTAGTGTATAATCATGTATAGTTATGTATGATATGTATTGAGACATTGACCTTAATATCATATATTTTATAGAAACACATTTCTTTCGAGAAACACAGACCCTTAGCAATTCCTAAGATCACTGGCTCTGCCAATCCTTTTGTCAAATCATCAACGATGCTTCGCAGCTTGGGTGCCCGGGCGGTGCGGAGTCAAGCGTCGTCGCATCCGCTTCAATTGGATTGAGACTCGGTCAAAACATGCCAAAGGCCAATGGTTGCTCATGGTGTTGCCATGTCTTGAAGTGTCCGGAAGTGTCTTGATATGTCTTGATTCTCGCCCGTTCTACGCTATTTGAGGTTTTATATGGTTTGATCATATTGTGTGTTTTTTGTTAACAATGTTTTTTCAATACATGCTGCACAATGCAAAAACTCTTTGCTGACTCAGCTGGTGACATGTAGCGTACTAACATTGAAGCAAACTATGCCCGCAACTGTCTGCCCATAGCCCTCTTCCAAGGATACGCGTTGTTCGCGCCAAGGATGATCTTGGAACAACAATGGTACATCTGCACAACCATGGTCTGCCCATTATCACGACTTCTGCATGAATTGTGAATCCTGTTGATTCATCAAGCAATCTGGATAGTTGCACTGAGATTTCTGGTTGTGAAGCTTCCACCGAAAGCAACGAAGTGAAACAAACTGTCATCAGTTCAATGATTTCCATTGAGTCATAGTAGCCATTATCAACCATCACTATCCCCCCCCTGACACAGGAACCCCCCAATGGCTCTGAGGAACGGACCGTTTCTCCACCATCCGAACTAGGGGCCTGAGGCTACATGGGGTCAGTTCCCCGACTTGGTAAGCCGACCTGGCAGTAGGAGGTTTCCATAAATGGAGCTAGCTCCGCTGGGAGTTCCCACCGTGCCGCTAGGCACAGACTTCATGTAGCTACCGGGCCTCAGGCATTTCAGCACAACTTGCATTGTTCTGCTTGCCACTGGAGCACCCTTCAGACTCAAAGAATGTTTGTCTGCCTGAACGTGGGATACCACCCAAAATGCACTGGTTCTTATCATTCTTCCAGTATTAGATTCACAATTTTGAAGGCTATTCGGCAATTTTCAATCACGCCCAAATCACATGTTTAGCTAATTATCTACAAATCATATCCCCATTCTATCATCATCAAATCACCATTACAAAATATTATAAATATGCTAGATCTCAGTCGGTTCCATCCAATTTCAGTCGCCAACCCGGGCACTCCAGGCTTCACCTTCAGAGGACCCCATGGCCCAATGGGCTGGGCCGCAACTTTGAAATCTTAAATGTATGATTGTAGAATAGATCTACTTTTCATATGTTTTTCATGTTCCATTGTTGAAAATTATTGAAACAAAATCTGAATTTGGGCCCAAACTCATCCTGTCAATGAACAAATCGAGGGTTACGATGGGTTTTAACACGCATTTATGGGAAACACTGCGTTTATTGAAGATAAATCCACTCTGATGGACAACTCCCATCTACTAATCGATGAACAACCATTGGGATGGTATAAAAACCCAAGTGATTGTGAGTCCCTCAAACCAGCAATTTAATTCATCATTGGACCCTTAAAGGGCCTCCGAAGTCTCACTGGTAGGGAAACGTCGAGTTCCTGAAAAAACTCGATTGGCGGAGCACAGGATTCGGGTCAATCTACAACTTATTCTTGCTGTAAATATTCTTGCAAGTATTGTGTCGCAAATTCATTCTACATTATAACTATAGTATATCATATTACAATATGCTGTGATGTTAGAAGATATAGAGAGAGAGAGAGCTGTAACATCTCCTGAACGAGACTTTCCACGAAAAAACTGACCAGCAAATCTCTCCAAGTCTTCAAACTATTGCAAGCGTGATTTGACCTGAATCGAGATCGTCAACACAACTGGGTTTCCAACTGGGGAAGGAATAGAACGGGCTGCTCTGAAGTAGCGGGTGGAGCCTCAAAAATGTCGGACTTTCCATGACTTTCCCATCTCTTCCTGCACGGATACACAACGGCATCAGATCTCATCTCATCGCATTACAAATCAACCAGATCAGATTACAGTAACAAGACTCAAAATGCCGTTCCAAATATAGTAATTTTGACTTGACAATTTGGGATTACTGCACTTCCTCTTGAAAACAACATTATATAAGTATATATAAGTGACAAAGCCGTTTGCTCCACGGCAATGTTGAACACATCTGATATACTCCAACAGTCCCAACGGCTCATGTGCGAACCAAGAAGCGTCCGCTTGTCAGAAGGACCTTACAGGACAAAACGTCTAGGGAAAAGGTCCTCTGTGCTGATACGAATATAGGTCTGACTGAAAATTGGATATACCAAATCACCATGTTGATGAAGAAACCGATATCCAAACTATCAAGTTTTGGGGTAGCCCATGTTCAAACAAACCCAAAAGACATATATCATATATCCTCATCTAAATCTTTGAAACTGATCTGATAGCTGATGCAATCCCAGTCGCTCCTCAACAACCGGTCATGATGGGCCTCACCACCAGGCCTTGGCAAACCAGCTGATGTTTCTGTTGGATGAGACATTTGATGTGACGTTAATTCGGACATTATATCTGACATTCAATTTGTGGACAAACATTCTGACATTCGATGTGACATTTTATCTGGCAATCTGACATTTTAAATGGCAATCTAGCTGACATTCTTCTGGCATTCTATTTGTCATTCTATCTCACATTTTTTTCTGGCGTTCTATCCAGTGTTCGTGTCCGGCAAGCCCCAGAGAGCCTCAGAGACCGCGCTAGATCGCGATTGTGTTCGGGCGAGCCCCAGAGAGTGCAGAGGAGGCAGAAAGCAAACGAGGACTGACGGAGGAAGGAGCTGACATAAATTCTAGAGAACCTCGGCAAATGGGGAAAGAAACATGACATGATGTCTCAGACTGGTTCCAGGCGTTTTTGATGAGAATGGTGATGATAGTACATGGGGGCAGTCTAAGACCTTCCGAAACATCCTTGCGTTGTGCTCTCATATCTCTCATGAGGCTTTCGGACTGTGCCTCATGCTGGAGTTTCAGTCTGAGATTCCCTGCAAGTAATGAACACCAATGTGGTTGTGAACTGCCTTGCCGCCCACGGCGCCATCTTATGGGTGAGTTGATGGCCGGTGGATGCCAAGGATAAATCACAGCGTGCCATATGGGTTTGTCGCGAATTAAATGCTATAATATTATGAATAATTCATATCCCATAGGATCCATGTATGCTATATATGGTAACATTTACCATCAATATACCCCAAATGTTAGCATATATATATACCATACATGGATCCTATGGGTATATGTGGTATGATAAGATGTATTATGTGGTAATATTTCATAATATTTCCTTATCCAATTGGCGTTTTATCATTGCCCTGTGTCCGCACCTTTGGCCAGTTGCAATCAGTGTAGCTATCAGGCATGGCCTTGCGCCTCAACTGAAAGGCTGGTATAGCATAGCCCGCGTTGCCCTTGAAACCTCTGAATTGAGTACTAAATGTCAAATAACGTTTCTGGAAAAATGGTGGAGTTCAAAAATCATTCAAATCATTTCGCAGTAATTTATCATCGGGAAAACAAAAGTCTTGGGGTACCAAAATTGTGAAAAAAACAAGATGAACCACCCATAATAGACATATAACTTCAACATCAGACCATGTAACAATGCTCCTCTAAGTGGATTGAAGTGGTAATATCAACATCAACCATTCCCACAAATCTTCATATACCCGTCATTTCCTATTGGCAGCCACGCTTCACTGGGCTGCCCCAGCCATTCGTGTGTGGCACCTACAACAGCGCAACCCCCTGCGCGCGTGCCCTGGCGTCCGAGACCATTCTGTGTTGATGCGGATTCCCCATATAGTAATGATGGTAATTAATGGATATTCATGGTGAAAAATGAGTTGTTAATATGGTTAATATGGTTAATATGGTCAATATGGTTGATATGGTTAATATGGTGAATATGGTTAATATGGCTAATACGGTTAGTATGGTTAATATGGTTGATATGGTTGATATGGTTATATAATGTGAATTAATGGTGTGCATCATATAGTATATATAGTGATATATAAGAAACACTTGACCATTGATGATGCAGCTTGGGTGTTGTAAAAGAATTCACTGTATAAGAATTTGAGGGGCTCGAATCCAAGGCGGGCTACATATTTTCAGCTAAACCAAGCACATAGTAGTTTAAGAATTTGAGGGGCCCTGGAATAGGATTGCCATATTCTGAAAATACCGCTTATACGTGAAGTTTGCAATTCCCCTTTGCGGCATTTTTTTTGTGGAGTGACCCCTCATGGTCTTATGGGATGAAATCGGGCTTTGCAGAAAAACAATTTTTCAAGCTCCGAAAAATTGTTTTTTTCGCGCATGCTTGGACCGCTTCCAATCCACGCAAATTCTATATGTGGATAGACTTGGGGACTTGAAACATTGGTTTCCCCAATAACTTGAAGAAAACTTAGGCTTTGCAGAAAAACAATTTTTCCCAGAAAGGAGACTACAGGAACCAAGAAAACGACATATTGGCAGACCCTTTTAGATGCCCAAAGAATTCGCCGCCGCGGTGCGAACCTCCGACCGTCAAGAGCGAATTCTGCCACTCTGACCATTATGCTACAGGAGCCTTGCCTTCAAAGCATTTTTCTTGTGAAACTCAGACGAGCCCGGCTTTGCAAAAAAAACAACTTTTCAGGCTCTTAAAAAATGTTTTTTTTCCGCGCTGCTCTTCTGAAACTCAGACAAGCCCGGCCTTGCAAAAAAAACAATTTTTCAGGCTCTAAAAAAATGTTCTTTTTCCGCGCTGCTCTTCTGAAACTCAGACAAGCCCGGCTTTGCAAAAAAAACTTTTCAGGCTCTAAAAAAATGTTTTTTCCGCGCTTCTCTTATGAAGCTCAGACAAGCCCGGCTTTGCAAAAAACAACAACTTTTCGGGCTCTAAAAAATTGTTTTTCCCGCGCTGCTCTTATGAAACTCAGACAAGCCCGGCTTTGCAAAAAAACAACTTTTCAGGCTCTAAAAAAATACTTTTTCCGCGCTGCTCTTATGAAACTCAGACAAGCCCGGCCTTGCAAAAAAAACAATTTTTCAGGCTCTAAAAAAATGTTCTTTTTCCGCGCTGCTCTTCTGAAACTCAGACAAGCCCGGCTTTGCAAAAAAAACTTTTCGGGCTCTAAAAAATTGTTTTTCCCGCGCTGCTCTTATGAAGCTCAGACAAGCCCGGCTTTGCAAAAAACAACAACTTTTCGGGCTCTAAAAAATTGTTTTTCCCGCGCTGCTCTTATGAAACTCAGACAAGCCCGGCTTTGCAAAAAAACAACTTTTCAGGCTCTAAAAAAATACTTTTTCCGCGCTGCTCTTATGAAACTCAGACAAGCCCGGCCTTGCAAAAAAAACAATTTTTCAGGCTCTAAAACATTGTTTTTTTCGTATGTCTCTTGTCAAATCTGCCAACTCCACCTCGTTACCTCGCTTTAGCTCGCTCCAAAATGCGCAAATGCATACAATACACAACGAAGAATGCTCTGAGAATTTGAGGGACCCTCGACCCATTGTGGTGGAAATTTGCCTGCATTCAAAAATAAGAATTTGAGGGACCCTGGGCCTTAAGCTTTCGGATTTTTAACCAACTCTCGGGCTGTACTGATAATGATATTAATGGCTAATGATGCGTGGTTAATTAATGGTTTCAATATATTAATGAATTAATGTTTAATTATGATAAATAAACCATGATGATTGATGATAATTGTATCATATTGTATCCTGGTCGCAATTTGCGGGGCTCTTATAGTTCATTCCCATAATATCTTGATCCCACAGCAATAGTCCCATGCTCTGCACCTTTGGAATGACGCTCAAGATCTTCTTTCGCAAAAGGGCAGACTTGGTCATGATAGCCTCCACATATTCCCACTTCATTGGACACAGTTCTCTTTCTCAGCAACCAAATCTTGATGCAACCCAAGTGTCTTTGTAGGTCTGGGCAAGTGAGATGGTTGGACATCTTGTAGACATTTGTAGACTATATCCTTGATCAACATGATCTCTGTAGGAAACTCCGGAAACCAATCCGTTGCACCCAAAAAACGCAGGCGCACCATCCGTTGACGCCGTTCTGGCCGTTGGTCCTTGGATGTCTTGCTCCGGCGCAAAACAACAGATATGCAGTGCCGAAAGATCTGGAAACAGTGAAACAGTTTCCCAATATTTCCCACTTCTTAAGTGCCGAATTTTGGAGCGAATCTGCTAGGGCATTCAATGGCTCGTGTGTACCACCATCAATCCATCCATTCACCACTCCCTGAGGGTGTCACGATGAGCTGCAGAATCATGGCGTCCAATTGCAGATTGGGCTGACAGGCAGATTTGTTGCAGCGTGCTACGCATCAACTACTGACAAGAAACAAGAAGGCCAGCATAGGAACCCATCGGCTGAATGTTCAATCACTACAGTATTTTTTGATATCGTAGAGACTGGAGTATTTCAGGCTCAGTAGACACACAATTTGCACACCATCATTGTCTAAACGGTTTTTTATTATTTGTAGACTATTCTCCAGCCTAGATATTATGAGTCAGAGTTGTAAATGATCGGATTTTCCAGAGTTTATATAGCATATATAGCTATCCAGCTTTGATATACTACCTGTAGTTCCAGTTTTGATTTCTTGGTGCCTATATTGAAACATTTTGGAACGAATCCTTTGGATTCCGCCTGTTGCGGAGACCGTTGCTGAGCTTGCATGTTCTCCAGCTGCGTCACCTCGTTCAACACTCCCGTCAGCGAAGAATCAGTTTCCGCAGCTTCAATTACCCTCTGGTAAACTAACATAAAATCATTATTTTTAATGGGTAAATCCACTATAAATGGCAATTTTCAATAGCTATGTTAAATAACCAGAGGGTATCCAGGAAATGAATGGACATGATTGATGGATTTCCTCCACATCCACCGATTTCAGGAGTTTCAACAACTGTTTTCCATCATAAAAAATGCAGTCCCGGGTCCAGGCCATGCTCTGCAGGTCGGGATCTTCTGGAAGCTCTGGTGCCTGGCTGCATCTTGGGGGATTCGACGAATTTGACAGGTCAACAGCTTGAGGGATATCATGAGTATATCACCATATACAGACAGTATATTTCATAAGTACATAATATTACATAATGAGGGTATCATCATGCATAAGATTAGTAAATCATCAGTACATCATCAGCATATCGATCTCTATGATTAAACATATCCAATGTTCATGGCGACAAGCTGTTCGATTAATGCATGTCCACATTGTCCACTATGCCAACCATAGGTTCTGTATGGTTCAACAGATCCAACTTACCTCAGGCAAAATGCATGCCACAGCCATGCGCTGCCCCTTCGCCTCAGACTGCCTTGAAAGCTGCGGACTGGAGTTGGAGTGAGGCATCATCGTTGACACCTCGTTGGCACTTAGGCGGTGTCAAGACTCCTTTCACAACGCATTGACATCCATTATACATCCATTCCATTCATTGCGAATCATCAGGGTAAATCAACATGTGCCTCCTGACCACTTTGGGTAGGATTTTGAGGGCCATGTCTCAATACATATGAATACATATGATATGTTCACATACATATGTTTACCAACATTCAACACAACAATGACCTTGATGTAGTGCGCTGGCCCCGGTCAACAGCAAGGGGGAAAGCATCAGAAAGAGATGGCAACATCGGGGAATGCGAGCCGCCCAGGGGTGTGTATAGAGGTGTTTTCGAAGCGAGGCATTGTTTTCTTATCAGTACTATGCAACAGTGGATATGAAACATATTGTCCACTGTGCTTGTTTTCGACAGTACTGTGTTTTCTTACATAATAATATCTTTTGATCCCTTTGCACGGTCTTTGGATTCGAAAATCACGGTCTTCGAAGCACTTCTGCGGGTTGTCCACGCCCGGGGCTGGCACCATGTCTCTGTTGGAATCAATCATCGAGAAAAGGCAGCAACCATTAATTTCTGCTGATGTCAGAGCTGGACACCTGGTCAGTCCAAACAACCGTGCAATCTGGAGAAAACGCACCTTCAAAATGGGACCCAACAGAGATTCTTCATGTAAAGGATAGTATAGGGTATATACAGTAATTGATTGTAGTTCTCAGTACTCGTTGCCTTTCCGAAAGTGATGCAATGCAATCATGTTGAAACAAATGAATGTCTAGAAAAAAACGGAAAAACATGGATGTTGTTGCACATCCTTCTTCAGAGACTTTCTTAGTGGGTTCAGATTGGTCGCAACCTTTGGTTGTTGAAGGGCTATGTCCAGGGAGAGCAACACAATGCGCAATTTCGCAAACATGTCAAAATATACTGTTTCAAATTATCACCCCCACCACAGTCATTATCATGTTCACCAGCACCAGCATCATCCTCCTCATCATCATCCTCATTCTCATCCTCATAATCCTTCTCCTGTTCCTCCTCCTCATCCATATCCATCCATCATCCATCCTCATCATCTTTCTCATCTTTAGCATCCTCATCGCCATCATCATCACCAGCACGATCACGCTCACTATCATCACTATCATTGCTCCTTAAATAATTATAATTGCCATCAACATCAATGTCCACCTTCGACATAACCAACACCACCATCAGCGTCAATGTCCATTTTGACGTTATCAAGCGGGTTTTCTTGTCAAGTATCACAAACTGATACAAAATGCATTCGTATTTTACCTCAATAATCTCACAGCTTATCGTGCTGAATCATGTCACCAGTGCTACTTGACTTGGGTCTAGGACTGCATCAAACCCATGCACAAGACTGTGGAACCTACCACTGATCCACCTCCTTGTAGCTACTGTTCCAAGCTAGCAAGTTGTAAACTATTCAATCAGTTTCAAGAGCAGTAACAGCTGCCACTGGCACTCAGCTGCAAACTCTATGGGTGGCCTGGCGGCCAAATCAAGTTGACAGATTCTGAAACAAATAGATTTGATTGAACTTGGTATACTCCACAAAATGCAATGTCAATGAGTAATAATAAATGTAATAAACATGATGTAAAATGATGAAAGTCCGTCGCAACTGCGGATTTTACCCTGGGACATCAAGGGTTTGATTCCCATTGAGCACTGTGTGACCGATCCACTTGACGCGCCTGCCACTTGCACCCAGCCCGTGCGCTCAGCTTTTCTGAGGCCGACTAGCTGAGAAGCTGCAAATGTCATAGCGCTATTTCATCTGTTGGCGAACTGATTGTCAATAACCTGCTCTGAAGTGGATATAATATGATATACCATGATCATATGTGATCTATTGGCTGTACCTAGCAGAGTCAATATCTTTGAAATCTTTCACATGGTCTTCACCACAGCATCTTGGGCCGCTTGGGCCACCTGAACCTCCTATGTATGCAGCAAAGGTCAGCTTGTTGCAACAGGTCAGCAGTCATGGGCACACAGGGCGCGAGCTTCTTGGGTTTGCCACTAGCGCCATTGATTTACCAATTCACCAATTATATATTATGTACATGCATGTTATATATAAATACTATTATACATATCATGGGAAAAAAACAGTTCATTGTGATTCTATACAAGGATGTAACTATGACTATACATATATCAATGCAGCCTGCTTTTTTTCCTTTTCTCACGTGGCTTTCAGGTGATATCTGGTCAATGATCTTGCGCCTTGCAGAGCTTTGGGCGCCTCATCTTACGCAGAACTGCTGTTAAAGCAGCAGCTGGGCGTTTCGCGGCTGGGATGCACTTCGAGATCGTTGGAGAAGACAGACATGGAACAACAACTGGACGCTCCAGGCACTCCATGGCGATTGTCATGGTGTCTCATGGTGAAGCGAAATGGTCACAGAGTCCCCTCTTGAAATCAGAACATCCCAGCAGTCTCAAAGAAGTCTCCAAACGCTGTTCAGCGATCAAAGAGCAGTCTCTGAATTGTGTACCAAGTGACTGCAAAGGTCTCAACATGTCTCAACACAGATTCATCAAAACAAAATGTCAAACCTGGAGATTCAACAAAGACATGCCTTAATTCATCTAAGTTCTATATGAAAAGCATGAACAATTTCAACGAGTTGCAGCCTTTGCTGCACCATTCACGCGAATGCACAAAGCTACTCCCGGCATTTCTTCACCAGTGAGCTAGCGAATACGAATGACATTGTAGCATGGGCCCATGCGATGACTCCAATGTTCAGGACATGGTTTTTGTAGAAGACCAAATCATACACACATTCATCCAGCTTCCATCTGACAAGAAGGACAGATTGAAAGAGCGCGTCAGGCAGGAGTCATAAGGCAGTCATGGACCACACAAACATCGGTGCTCGATTTGAGCTTCCATGTTCGCGGTGTATCCATGTAGCAGTTTTTGGCAGCTTTAAGCAGGCGCAGCAATTCACAACTCAACGGATTTCCCCAGTCAAAATATGTCAAAATATGTCAAAATGGCAATCTCTGAGGTACACTCCATTTTCAAACAGACCCAATTTGGCTGCTATAGTGACCCAGCCCTTTTGGGTCCAGATGCTCCAGTCTCCGGACGCATTGGCACTTATGAGGCTTGCTGCTGGCAGCCACAGCACCAAGCACCATTGGTTGGCGTGCTGAGATTCCCATGCGTCTCCGCTGTTTCATGTGACGCTTTTCCAGCTGGATCTTGATGTACCAGCTCTCCTGTCAGCAAATGGTAAGCTGTGACTCTTTCAACCTTCATGATACCGACATGGCAAATTCACACACCAACTTCCTGATCCTGAAACGCAAACATTGCTTCATCAAGAGATATCAAGAGGGTATATCGGTACATTTCCAAATGTCTATTTTCGTGAAATTTGAAGTCGCCTATGTTCCATTATTTTCCCATATCCAACCTGCTGATGTTTTTCCTTCAACAGGCGCACCTGTGACTTCAGGCACCTTTCCAGGATGGCTAATCATCTCCATCTCGGTGACAGGATCTGTGCCATCTCGCTCTTTCGGAGCCGCCAAATCTGAGCACAACGCCGTGGCTATATCATGATTTTAACATGTTTTGGCTGGCTATATCTTCAAACAACATCAAACAACCATGTTCAACATTGTTCAACCCTCAAAGCATGAAAGACAACATGTGGACTCCACCAAGGGCTACTAATTCCATGGACATTCCATCTTTGATCCAGTCCATACATTCTCTCACCCTTCAACCACATATGTCATATGTCAATGTGATGGTATGTGTAGGCTCTGCAGCAATCTATCCGATCTGTCATGATCTGTCATGATCTGTCAGAGATGACATTCCCGCAGCATGGTCTATCCTCATTTTCGCTCTTACAATCAACATATCTTGGGATGTAAACTCCTTACTTTCGGATAAATGACATGTTCCCCCATCAAAAATGGAGCGCCCCTAAAATCCATAACATCATGTTCCTCATTTACACATCATCTAAGAAAGGTGACGCTTCTATTGTGGGCAAATCCATGAAATTTAACTCCTCGCAGCCGAGCTGCTGGCATCTGCCTCCAGTTCATGCTTCAAATCTTCCAGATCCTTCTCCGCAAAATCCCCCGGATCCAAACCTGAGATCTGCATTTGATGTGCCAAGTGATGGCAACTGTCTGTATGCAAATGACTACAAAGATTACAAATGTATTACAAATGTATCAATTTCTACAGAACTGTTATAATATCATAGTTATAAGACTATAATTCATCCCATGAAATTACATTTTCAATTGCCATAAGATCTGCAAGCAACATCCCAGTCATAGGGTGTCCCAAAAAACCACCAGTCGTGACGTGTTTTCCGTGCCAAGCTGCTTGATCCTAGTGAGGCCGTACTCGCCAATGAACTCATGGTCCGCCGAGCTTGGTGCTTGCCCCAGGCATAGTAGCCCAGCTGACGCAGGAAATCGCAGGAATTGGATGATCTGGGATGGTTGTGAAAAATGATGGGATGATTCAAAAATGATTGAGTATCATAATGATACTTACTGGTAACGGGGTGAACAATGGTGAACATGGCATTGCGGTAAACACCACAGAAATGACGTTTGAATCCAGTAATATCCCGTAATCCCGTAGCCCTGATCTCAAATACCTCCCAGTCCAAAATGGCATAGGATGGAATTGAACATCTTAGAAGAGCGTGCGTGCTGCCACCAAAACGCACTTCCAGCTTTCTAGAGGATTAGGAGCAATGTTGGCATTTTGAACGAAAGTATCAGGCCCGTCACAAAACAACAAAAAAACAACTGCTGCATCACTGTGGTATACTGTGGTGCTATTGCCTTGAAGGCCAAGAATTGGAGGAGTAGGAACAATGCCGTGATCGCTCCGGCTGCGGTGAACCAAATGATCACGATCAACGAGTGGTCATAGTCCCAAAGATCGGTGTTGTACGAGATCAAGGCCAGTCCTGCAGATGGGGAGAAAAGGTGGTCAAGCTTTGGGGACTGAGATGGGCACGGATGGTTTACCGATCGAGTTTACTTTGTATATCTTTGTATTATGATGTTCTTGAAAGGGGTCATCAGAGCGGCCAGAAGCGAGGCGTCTCATCAATTGTTGGCATCTTGCACAGCACCCACATGTAAAGCACACTGACATTTACCCTCTGGTTATTTAACATAGCCATGGAAAATCACCATTTTTAATAGGTAAACCCAGGTAAACCATCTATAAATGGGCCATCTATACCATGGCTATGTTAGTCATAACCAGAGGGTAAATGTCATCCTCTACTGTAGATGTCGTTATAACCTGTGGACATCCGGAACGAAACCTGTGTCAGCCCAGTCCTATATGCCAAATGGCCGCAAATGGAAGGATGATGTGCCCAAAGACCTGTCACAATGGCCATGGCGGCCATGGTAGCGTCAAGATCCAATGGCTTTGTCTGGAAATAGGGTAATTACCGCTGAAGACCTCATGGTTTCTCATTATCCCAATTTCAGATGATTCAAAATCCGCCATTCCGGGGTATAGACCTTATTTTGAAGGACAATCTCTCTTGTTCCTACACATGATATTTATTGATATTTCATGATATCTCACCTTCAGATCATATCCCATTTATCGCAGAACTGATGCACCTGCTGGCTGATGTGAGCCAAGGCATTGTCCATGGGCGAGTCGCGCCTTCGCACAATCCTGGTCACAGATCTCGATGGATAGCAACCGCCCTTCTTTCGGAAATTGTTTCATCAGTGGATGGTCAAAGGATGGTGAAGGGTGACATTTGTTGAGCCGATTTTCGAAAAACAACGCTTGCCATTGACGTTGATGAATGGCAAAAGGCGAATTTTCCGGAAATCGAATGGCCATTTGTTGGTTCTCTATGGTTCTCTCAGGATAGGAGATGCTCATAGATGCTCAACATTCAACTCCATCCAGCTCTGTTTGCCGCAGCTGACCAGCAACTCGTCAGTCTGCCGAGCATCAGCAGCTTCGAAAGACGAGAATGGATGTCCAGAAGGCGGGCAAGGAGCTGGGCGATCAAACCCAATGGATTGATTGGTGCGAACCTCAAGGACCAAACCCTGGCCCATATCAAAACAATGATGAACTATTAACGTTCAAAATGTCAAACCAGCACAAAGAACGCAGGGACCGATTTAAAGGATTTTAAAGGTCCTCCTCTACTGTTCTGCTTAGATGCATGATAACGATCATGAAGTTCATCTTGAGCATCTTCCTTGGCTTGGAATGCGTGGCAAAAAGAATATCAGGCTAGACAATCAAACACTCTATGACCTACATTCAAGGAATTATCATTCGTTGACTGCTTGCTGGCAGGAACGTACAAGAAGTACACTCGCCACAAAAGAAGGTGCGCCTATGTGCAACATGTCCGGGATAACTACAGAGGGAAGGACGCTACTAAAAGTTACGAAAGTCCTAGTTCAATGCTAAAGCATCACAAAACTGTTTTTCCCTGTTTCCTATTGGTATTATTGGTGCTATCTCTATCTTAGCATCAATTATATTGAATCCTCACGCTGGAGACTGTGATCTTGCTTCACTGCATCACATTGCGCCTCTCTACCATCCATATTCATGTTCATGTTCATGTTCATCAACACCATTAATTACCATGATCCATCATCATCATCATCATCATCATCATCATCATCCTCGTATTCTTCTTCTTCTTCTTCTTCATCACCCCTAGCACCATATTCTTCATGCTGTTGGCATTCCAAGAGGTCACCAGCCCAGCTTCAGTTCGTCGATGGGATTGAACGGACGCAGCAGCCGCTGGTCCAGGGGGCCGAAGAGGTGATTCAACGACGCACCGCTTAAGGGATGACAGTCACCTGTCAGTGACGTTTACAGATTTCCGCAGCAATATACAGTAATACCATGTAATACCTGAATACCTGCTGTATATGGATATAGTACCCAAGAGTTTTGGATATCCTACAGCATAAGCAATCCTATCCTCTATGAGTTTTCAGATCTAGAAAGTGTTCAGTTTTGAATGCACATCTTTCACACACGGTCGAAAATCTCTGGACAGCAACATGATGGTAATTCTTGGAGCTAAGCTGCTGCAAATGCTTTGCTCACATGTATTGCAGCGCCTGAGCTTTGGGAAGTCGATGCCAGCTGAGTGTGTCGCTAGCGATTTTCAATGCATATCTCTCTGCATGAGTTGATACAGTACCGCTTTCTTCAACTTCCACTATACTGTCTGAAGAGGGACAAGTATACCCTTCTCATTGCAAGAGCACCCTGCAAAACAGGCACATGTTTGTTTCTAATATGAAAAATCGTCACACTGCCAGTGCGAATCATTTATCAGCAATAAATCGAAACTGGATTTCTGGAGCCTTCCCAAATCCTCTAAGTAATCTAGTTGACCTTGACCTCGCGCTCATCATAAAGTATCATAAAGTGATAAACAATGACTACTGAAAAGTTTGGGGGGTGAGACCCAAATGGGGTGAGAAAACCACCTTTAAAAATATGAGAAAGCATGGGAAATTAGGGAAAATCATGGAAGATAATGAAGAAAATATGACAACATGACAAGGAAAATAAAAACATGACAATTTGAGAATTTGACAGTTTGCGAGAACTGTGGCTCAAATTTCTCAGTCAATGCGCTTGGATGGTATCCAGCACGAGTTTGCAATGTCAAGGGCTCAGGTTCGTACAAAGCCTGTGGGCAGATCCATTACATGTGATTCTCAAAGGAGAATCAGGACAGCAGTGGTCTCCTGTTTCTTGTAGGTCAAAACATCTTCAAATGAACGAGCTTGAAATGGCATGGTCTCACAGAGGGCAAGGTAGGGCAGGGTCTCGCCCATCAAACATCTTCAAATAAATAAGAGCAGATGGCAGGGTCTCACACATCAAGGAAGGCAGAATCTCACATAAAGGCAAGGCTTCACAGAAGACAGGGTCTCGCCCACTAAACAAAGGCAGGGTCTCACAGAAGGCAGGGCATCATAAAATAAAACATAAATAAACAAAGTCAGGGTTTCTCACAGAAGGAAGAGTCTCACAGAAGGCAAAGCCTCACAGAAGCCAGGGTCTCACAGAAGGCAAGGCCTCACAGAAGCCAGGGTCTCACAGAAGGCAAGGTCTCACAGAGGGCATGGTCTCACAGACAGCAAGGTGTGTCACTCATAGCAGGGACTCACACAAGGCATGGTTTCACAGAACACAAGGTGTCACATGTTGAACTGAGGCCTAACTCCCACAGAAGGCAGGGCATCACAGAAGGCAGGGCCTCACAGAAGGCAAGGCCTCAAAGAAAGCAAGGTCTCACAGAGGGCCCAACATTATGAACAAAGGCAGGGTCTCAGAGAAGGAAGGGCCTCACAGAAGGCAACGCCTCACAGAAGCCAGGGTCTCACAGAAGGCAAGGCCTCACGGAAGCCAGGGTCTCACGGAAGGCCAAGTCTCACAGAAGGTCTCGCAGAAAGGCTTCACAGAAGACACAGTCTCGCCCATTGAACAAAGCCAGGCTCACAGAAGGCAGGGGGGTGCCAAGCCTAGTTTGGCTACAAGCATGCGTATCACATATGGCGCAATGCAGGGTCTCACACAATAGACAGGGAAATAAAGGATTCCGCACCTGAAGGTGTTTTCACCCGTGAAATCACACGCTCCCGAACTGTTGCTCTCCTCTACTGCTCCCACACGCGAGCTGCTCTTGCTCACTTTCCGGCCCTGGACACTCTTCCATAACTGAAGCTTAGGACTTTATATTTGGTCTTCGATAGGAGCAAGATTCAATCTATAGACATGCTGCACATTTTTCGATAAGAACAGATGGCAGGGTCTCACACATCAAGGAAGGCAGGGTCTCACAGAAAGGCAGGGCTTCACAGAAGACAGGGTCTCGCCAGGGTCTCACAGAAGGCAGCAGGGTATCATAGAATATAGTTAAGGACAGCTGGTAGGCAGGGATCCGCGCTGATGATCTAGTAAGCAGATTAGGTACACTTAAGTACCCCCATGATAGCAAATTCTGAGGTACACTTCTGCCCACTGGGGTGCCTTTGTTTGTATGTTGTATGTAGCTGAATCTGCCTACTGGGGCCGGGGTTCCCACCATTATGTATATAAACAAATTACATATACCTCAGAATTTGCTATCACGGGGGTACTTAAGTGTACTTGCCAACTAGATGGGCATGGGGGTACAATTCTTACTAGATATTACTAGATCATCAGCGCGGATCCCTGCCTACAGGCCATCCTTAGCTATGAATAGTATCGGTGGGAGATGCACCCTCTGCCAACTGGTAGGAGTGGCGGTCTTGATTTTTCTTGCACCTAGTATCCAATACCCCAAGGTCATGAAACACATAGTACTGCAGTAAGCAGATGGTGGGGGGGGCGGGTTTGCTTTCTTTTTCCCCTCTTCTTGGTCCTTCTCTACCCCATGATGGAACTACATTACTATTTGCTCCTAATTTGCGGGGTTGTATGGGTCCCCGTGCGGACAGGCAGCGTACATGCATACATTAAGGATAGACAGTATAGACAGTGCTAGTGCTGGTGCTAGTGTTAGTGCCAGTGCTGTTCAGCAAATGGAGCCGCGAACTGAGGCGATGTCTCTCTATCTATCTATATATCTATATCTACCTATCTACCTATCTATTTGTATATATGCACATGTCTATGTATATGCTCATTATATCCTCAATGGAAAGGAGGTGCAGTAAGCAGAAGCCACAATATGTTTCGCACCCTTCTGAGGTACACTTCTGCCTACTACCCCTGCTTGTCCAAAACCTGCGAAAATAGCCTCCCCGACGAACATGCTAAAAACACACCAAATCGACACATTTTAGGGCAGTAGTAACACTAAATTTCCTGCCTCCTGCCTACCGGACGTCTCAGACTATAAGCCAAGTCAAGGTCTCACAGAAGGAAGGGTCTCACAAAAGGCAAAGCCTCACAGAAGCCAGGGAGGCAAGGCCTCACAGAAGCCAGAGTCTCACAGAAGGCAAGTCTTAGAGGGCAAGGTCTCACAGAAAGCAAGGTGTGTCACTCATAGCAGGGACTCACACAAGGCATGGTTTCACATCTGAAACAAAGGCATGGTTTCACAGAACATAAGGTGTCACATGTTGAATTGAGGCTTAACTCTCACAGAAGGCCGTCCCAGAAGCCAGGGCCTCGCAGAAGGGCAAGATCTCACAGAGGGTCTCACAGAAAGGCAGGGCTTCACAGAAGACAGAGACCATTAAACAAAGGCAGAGTCTCACAGAAGGCAAGGCCTCACAGAAGCCAAGGTCTCACGGAAGGCGAAGTCTCACAGAGGGCAAAGCCTCACAGAAAGCAAGGTGTGTCACTCATAGCAGGGACTCACATAAGGCACGTTTTTACATCTGAAACAAAGGCATAGTCACACAGACGCAAGGTCTCACATGTTGGATGAAGGCCTAGCTCTCACAGAGGCAGGTCCTCACAGAAGGCAGGGCCTCACAGAATGCAAGGTCTCACAGAATGCAAGGTCTCACAGAGGGTCTAACATTATGAACAAAGGCAAGGTCTCACAGAAGGCACAGGAGGGAAGGCCTCACAGAAACGCAGGCTCTCACAGACTGCAGGGCCTGACTGAAGGCAAGGCCCAACATGTGAAAGAAGGCTGGGTCTGATAGAAGGCAGGGTCGCACATAGGACAGAAGGCAAAACTTCACATGTGAGAGAAAGCAAGGTCGGACATGTGACAAAAGGTAGGGTCTCACATATGGCAGAAGAGGGTCTCGCATATGACAGAAGGCAGGGTGTCACACACGAAAGAAGGAGGGGTCTCGCACATGACAGATTGCAGGGTCTCACAGATCTAACAGGGTCTCGCATGACAAGGCCTCACTCACTGGGCAAGCAAATTCAAATAAAGGTCGTAAACAGGCCAGAAGGGAAGGCATCAGAGAAGGCAGGGCGTCATAGCAATTTCTCGCCAAAAAAAGCATCTTGCAGAAGTCTGGGTGCAGCATGGTTTCACAGATGGCAAGGTCTCTTGGAGGGGAAGGCAGGGTCTCACAGGAGGCAGGGTCCCACATCTGAAAGAAAGCATCTTATTTGCAAAGGAAGCATAGGAAAGCAAAATGTTTTTTTTCCGTGATTCTTATGTTTTTCTCTTGTTTTTACCAAATAATCATGTGCCTTCCATGTTTTTCCTGGCAACCCTGGAAAACATCTAATGGGAGGGGTTTGGGAAGGATTATGGGGTGTGTGGGGAGGTGGGTGGGGGGTTGGTGGTGGTGGAGGTGGTGGGGGTGGGAAGGGGAGGGGTTAAGGAGAATGGAAGGGGTTGGGCAAAGTGTTAAGGGGGTGTGGAGGGGGGTGTGATTTATTTTTGTTTACGTGTCTTCACAATGCATTCATGCATGTTGACATGTATACTTAATTCATATCTCTCATGCGCACTCCGCATGGCTCAAGACTAGCAGCAATTCCGCGTGTACAAAAAGAGTGTAGTCGCTTCCGCTTGCCACAGGTGTTTACTTAGGTTTCCAGGGCTCCCCTAATAGAGGGAAAAGCTACCTCAAAGTGGTAGCGGAGCCTGTGCCTTCGCCAAGTCTAGATCTGTGTGCCGAACTGCTGTTCTCTGCATACATTCCGTATATCGGACTTGCGGAGGCAACCTGTAGGTCAAGTTAGAGTAGCTGCCATGGTCTTAATCCACAACATGGATTCAGATGAAGAACAACTCCAGATTGTCTCTTATGAAGAGCCTGAAGCATATGCCGCCACCAGTCATTCCGAAAACCGGATGGGCATCAAAATGACACCAAAGGTTCCACCCCAATTTGATGGCCAATCAAGCTGGTTTGAATATGAAGATTTAATTGATGACTGGTTAGGGATCACAACATTGGATGCAGATAAACACGGACCATCATTAAAGAATGCCCTCATTGGTTCCGCTTCTTTTTATAAGTCGATGCTCGATAATGCCCTACTCCGAGATCCGGATCGTGGCCTCGCTCATTTCAAGGACACATTGAGACCATACTTCGTGAAGGGAGTAAATCATGTGTTCCTTTGGCGATTCCTCCAGATGTTTCGCACATATCGAGGCCAGAGCGAATTCGTGCACTGGATAGGGCGATTT